CATTGATGATCGCGGCCGCCCGCTCAAAGATATACGTATCCGTCATACCGTCATCCTCGATGATCCTTTTGAAGACCCCGAAGGCTTGGTAGAGCCACCGGAGAGCCCGGTGCCGTCCAAGGCACAGCTGGCTACGGTAAGAATCGCCGATGATGAAGACTTGGATGACGACATAGACGAGGAGTCAATGGAGAGGCTGCGACGGGAGCGCGAAGCAAGGGCACAGGCGTTGACGCTGGAAATGGTTGGCGATCTTCCCTTCGCCGAGGTCAAGCCGCCAGAGAACGTCTTGTTTGTCTGCAAGTTGAATCCCGTCACCCAAGGTATGCATTCCAAATTGCGCCGTGGTCACGTTCCGAACTCACACGCCCATTAGACGAGGACCTCAACCTAATCTTCAGTCGCTTCGGACCCATTCTGTCTTGTGAGGTCATCCGCGACAAGCGTACAGGTGACAGTCTACAATACGCTTTTATCGAGTTCGAGAACCAGAAGGATTGCGAACAGGCATACTTCAAGATGCAGGGTGTCTTGATTGATGACCACCGTATTCATGTTGATTTCTCCCAGAGTGTGAGTCTGCCGTCCGCCCAATCTTCCCAACATGGGCTAACAATGATGACAAAAATAGGTATCTAAATTGTCCGAGAGCTGGCGCAATGCTACGATCACCAAGCGCAGTAGCCAGCGGGGTGGCTTTGGTGGTGTCGCAGGCCTAGAAAAGAAGCGCCAGTACCGGGCAACAGAGAATACTCGTCAACGAGACGATGATTATCACATGGTCTTCGATAAGAATGCGCCCCGAGCGAAATCTGGTCGGGACGAGCGGTCTCTCAGTCGAAGCCCACCGCGGAAGCCACAACGGGAAAGACGAGTCAGTCGGAGTCCCCGGCGGGACTCATATCGTAATCGGTACCGAGATCGATCCTACAGCCGGAGTCCACCACGGCGGGATTCTTACGGGGACCGAGACCGCAGATATAACGACAATGAGCGGCGACGGGATCGTCGTGACGATGATAGATACCGGGAGAGGCGGCGTCGTTGACGTTTTGGGGGGTAAATAATGTAAATTAACCATACGCTAATACCATTCTTAAAAGATACCGTCATTTAAGAATGACGGATGTATGAATGACATCTTATCTTATAAGTATATTATGCTATGAAGCGAAAGTTAGTGTGTTTTTCTTTATCAGGCACTTAAACTAGTTTGTGACTTTAGTGACCTAGGTTCCCCTTCTTTCTCTTCCTCTTAGTCAGACTCAGATCCAGGAACCTCTTCAGGGGTCAGGTGGACAAGCAGATCTGAACTGGCGCCAGTCGGTGAGCTTGGAAGCCTGAAAGCCTGAAACCGGGTCCACGGCCTGCCCCGCCGGCCCCTCCAACTGCTTGGAATTCGATTGGCTGCAACAAGCTGGACGGAGGGCTGCGATCGAGCAATTCATGGGCGTGAGGGAATAGTGGCCCCTCATAAGCCATAATAATGTATCTGCGGCAGTCGCTAGTCCGTCTAAAAATAATCAATTGAAACTCTCAGGGATCCAGGCGGTCAATAATATGGCGCTGCAGCAGGACTACGTAGCATGTTAGTATTTACTGAGTAGGGATGTGGCCTGGTATTATTTATTCTTGACGGACAGATCCCCCGCGCTTTCACACCCTTGTACACCCCTCCTCCCTTGCTCTCCCATCTTCCTCTTTCCCCCCTCTATACCCCTCTAAGTATTCTCCCTTTCCCTTCAGCCTTCCCATCCTTTCTCCCTCCTGCTCCTCCTCATATTACCTATCCTATTTTCATTCATCATCCGCAATCATGGCTGCCGCTGCAATCAAAGAAACCGTCTCCAACCTCATTCATGGCCAGTCCGAGCCCGCTCTCCGTGAGCCCTCCCCCGAGGAATTCGAGCAACTGAAGAAGAAGTACACCGATGCCGGGCAAGGACAGGTCTTTGCGTTCGTCGACGAGCTGAAGCCCGCTGAGAAGACTCAGCTTTTCCACCAGTTGAACAACTTCGATCCCGTCCGCATCAACGAGCTGGCCGAGAAGGCTCTGAACCCTCCCAAGGCCGAGCAAGGCCCGGTCTCCCTGGAACCCCTCCCCGAAGTTGCCACCGCATCGATCCTGGATTCGGACCCCAAGGACATTCAGAAGTGGTACGATGAGGGTCTGCAGTTGGTTGCTGGCAACAAGGTCGCTGTGGTGTTGATGGCTGGTGGACAAGGCACCCGTCTGGGTAGCTCCGCCCCCAAGGGTTGCTTTGACATCGGCCTCCCCAGCCACAAGTCTCTCTTCCAGATCCAGGCCGAGCGTATTGCTAAGCTCCAACTCCTGGCGAAGAAGTCTTCCGGCAAGGATGCCGTCATCCCTTGGTATGTCATGACCAGCGGGCCTACTCGTAAACCCACGGAGGAATTTTTCCAGCAGCACAACTACTTCGGCCTCGACAAGAGCAATGTGGTTATCTTCGAGCAGGGTGTTCTGCCTTGCATCTCTAACGAGGGCAAGATTCTGATGGAGAGCAAGTCTAAGGTGCGTTCTTTCATTCACATTCCTGGCCCAAGGCCCCTCTCTGACCCTATGTTTTAGGCAGCTGTTGCTCCCGATGGCAACGGTGGTATCTACCTTGCCCTCTTGACTTCCGGCGTGAGGGAGGATATGCGCAAGCGTGGAATCCAGCACATTCACACCTACTGCGTCGACAACTGCCTGGTCAAGGTTGCCGACCCTGTCTTCATCGGCTTTGCTGCCTCGAAGGACGTCGACATCGCTACGAAGGTCGTCCGCAAGCGCAATGCCACCGAGTCGGTCGGTCTGATCCTCCAGAGAAACGGAAAGCCCGACGTCGTTGAATACTCTGAGATCGACCAGGAAACGGCCGAGGCCAAGGACCCCAAGCAGCCCGATGTCCTGAAGTTCCGTGCCGCCAACATTGTGAACCACTACTACTCCTTCCGCTTCTTCGAATCCATTGAGAACTGGTCTCATAAGCTGCCCCACCACGTTGCCCGCAAGAAGATCCCCTGCATCAAGCCTGAGACCGGCGAGGCGTTCAAGCCCGAGAAGCCCAACGGCATCAAGCTCGAGCAGTTTGTGTTTGACGTTTTCCCCATGACCCCTCTCGAGAAGTTCGCCAGCATTGAGGTGCGTCGTGAGGACGAGTTCTCTCCCCTCAAGAACGCCCGCGGCACTGGCGAGGACGACCCCGACACCAGCAAGGCCGACATCATGAAGCAGGGACAGCGCTGGATCGAGAAGGCCGGTGGTGTTGTTGTCACTGAAGGCGAGGCTGTTGGCGTGGAAGTCTCGCCTTTGATCAGCTACGTAAGTGCTTCCGTATTCGCGTCCATGAAATCGATTGCTTTACCACATGCGTGCTCGAAACCAGACTGACTTCTGAGTTACAGGGCGGAGAAGGGCTGGATTTCCTGAAGGGCCGTGAGCTCAAGGCCCCTGCTGTGGTTGAGAAGGAAGAGTAAATGGAATCATCATATTGCGGGAGTTAGGACAGCTTGTATGGAACTACTAATAATGCATAAATCAACCGCCCGCTGTGTATAGGCAGGGTTACATTTTTGAAGCCAAATATGTCGATAGCTCACGTCCCAAATACTGTTCTGTATGTCGCGATCGAGGCGTACCGTAGGAAAACCCGTGGGCGAACCTTGGGAGGGTAACAAGGAAAGCTTGGAGGAATCCATGATTTGCACGTCGGTGGCCTTGATTAGTACCAGACAGCTTGGATGCGGTCATAAATTTCACTGGAATTTACATTGGCCATACTGATACCGCTCGCCGATCTGGCTTCCTCGTATACTTCTAGCAGACCGACTATAGCTACTTGAATTCAGCTCGGTCTTCTCTAGAGCCAGGTCTAGACTGGGCCTTCTCGCAGTAGTCCAACCCCATCTTCGGACGTGTCTGCTCCAGGTGCAAAAAAGAAAAGTGCACCGGACTCGAGAGGCCGCGCCACAGAGCTGCATGTCATCGAGAATGACAACTGCCAGACGGACGGTTTCAAGCATGTACCGCCAGTCCCCAGTAATAGAGGCAATACAAGTCATAACCGGAACGTGTGCCTCAGGCCGTGCGCACGCGAGAGCTCACAGCCAATCAGACAGCGGATTGACCACCTTACGCGATACGGGAACGGCCGGGACCCATGGTAAATTTCGATTCAAACCAGTATCTTTCCCGTTACCGTACGGAAAAAGAAGCCCTGCGACACTGGTTTCTTTCCGTTTCCTTGCTTAGCTTCATCGCTTAAGTTGTTGCATTCGAAATCCTTTTCTACTCATCCGTCTTTGTGTGTCAGGAGAAATCTTGTTCAAGAGCTATCATTTTTTTGCTTATTCGTCTCTCGTGGTTCGGAGGGATTGGTGTTGCTGTGAGGTCTAGTTTGGAGTGTGTTCAGTGCTGGGTTTGTGTGCCTTTCTCTTTTTTTTTTTTCTTTCCTGTCATTTTTTTCCCTATGGTTATTCCCCATTTGGTGTCGCTTTTGGCTTTGTCAGCCCACTTTTTCGAGTCTCAAGAGTGGGCTGTCGGAAGTGCTGCTATTCCTCCTCCAAGGTTCTCAAGCTGACAATCCGAACAGTCCTATTGACAAGGAGATTAGAAGATCTGTTGTTGGTTTTAGGAAGAGTGAGTGCTGTCAGATGTTCCTCGTGACTTCAATACGTTCCCGTGGCCGTTTCGCGACTTCAGTGCCTTCCACCCATTCTTCGGCCGATTTTTTGTCCGCATCCTACTTCCATGAAAGACAAGCCCTCCATTATGAACTCGGCAGTGGAGGATTGAGTCGCTTACACTTCGTCCCGCGGCAGCTGAGTGCATGGAATATATGATTTCCGTCTAGTTGCGCCGCCGTCGAATTGTGTTCTATGACGCCCACTTGCTATGCCGAAGCGAATGGCTGTTCCGGCTGCGGATATTCACAAGCATGGACCAGACGCGCTGACCGAGTGACTTCCTCTTTTCTAGCTCAATCTTTACCGACAAAATGTTGTTGTCTCGTCGTGCCTGCTACAAGTGTGGCAACATTGGCCACTACGCTGGTTAGTAGTTGCTTTGGGAAGGAAACGCCTTGGCCCATCCTGGAATTTACTAACGGGCTGAGGTAGAGGTCTGCTCTTCCTCGGAGCGTCTCTGCTACAACTGTGAGTAGACCCTGTTCATTGGCAGCTTATTCGTTGCGTATCATTTGCTGATATAATTACGCTGTTCAACAGGCAAGCAGCCTGGTAGGTCCCTTCTGTGTGTCACGTCGCTCGAACAATATCTCTGATCGATCAATCGACAGGCCATGAGTCCAGCAGCTGCCCGCGTCCTCGTACGACTGAGAGTAAGGTTTTCGGTCCTCGTGGCTGCAACGCACCGGAATGCTGATATATCTCCGATCCAGCCAAGCAATGCTACAACTGCCAGGGACTAGGCCACGTTCAGGCCGATTGTCCTACGTTGCGCCTTAACGGTGCCAACGGCCGCTGCTACAACTGCAGCCAGCCCGGTCACCTTGCCGTACGTTTTCTCGTCGATCCCAGCTTATTGCTTTCCGGGCAAAATCGTTGTTGACCTTCTCCTAGCGCAACTGCCCCGCTCCTGCTTCCGGTGCTCCCCGGGCCCCTGCTCCCCGCGGCGGATTCAACAGCGGTTTCCGTGGTGGATACGGATACCCCCGTGCTGCTACTTGCTACAAGTGCGGTGGCCCCAACCACTTTGCCCGTGATTGCCAGGCTCAGGCTATGAAGTGCTACGCCTGTGGCAAGCTGGTAGGTGTTCTTGTCATACTTGATCCGATACGAACGTTGAGGCTTATCTGAATCTATAGGGTCACATCTCCCGCGAATGCACTGCCCCCAACGGCGGTCCCCTGAGCTCCGCCGGCAAGGTCTGCTACAAGTGCTCCCAGGCCGGACACATCTCCCGCGACTGCCCCAGCAACGAGGCCGTCGCTCAGCAGCCCGTTGATGCCACTGCTGCCCCTGCTGCCCCTGCCGCCGCCGCTGCCGAGGTCAGCGCGGAGGCTGCTCCCGTTGCTGCTGCGGCTCCTACTACCGCTGTCGCATAGAGGACGAATTTAATGACTGATTGATCCCACTTTCTGGGAGCCTTTTTTCCATTCTTTCTTTTTGTAATAGGGTTTGCCGATATCGGTCTCATTTTTCATTATTCCCATGGTTTCTTCCTTTGCATATATTGCGCCCCTCCTGTTCCACTTCTCGGCACCGACCGGTTTCTATTCCTATTATGTATACGACGAACAAAAGTTTCACGAAGTCTTAGGTTCCTTTATTGCTTGGATCCTATACACGGCTCAGGGTCTTATGGTTGGCGTCTATTGATCTCCTCGGGTATCTTTCTCATTTCCAAATTTAGGTGCGGCAAAGAAAAGAGGGAGAACGAGGCCAGGCGAGGTGAAAGGTGAAGTGAGCGCAGCAGAGACATTGGTGGACCGAAGCAAGCGTTTTGATATGCATGGGAAGAGGCTTCAAGTTGATACGGATGGGATTGTGTGTGATGAAGATAGTGAATGGTCTACAGGTACCTGGCGCGGTGGTTACCTCCTCATCTTTTCGTACTATATCCTCCATATATTCGTCAAATGGGAAGCAAAACAAAAAAAGAGAAAAGCAAAAACGGAGCATTTATTTCAGATTCAAAAAGTGTGTCTATTGCAGATATCGAGAGCATCGGTTGGATAAAGCCTTCATGTTGTATCAGTAGCTTACTGGGTAAAGCTATCAGATTGATCGGGTGTGAAGATATGTCATCCAGCTTATGCTGTCCCCATCCTGGTCTAAGGGAAATAAAGTATAGCCATCAGTCGATTGTCTGATGGGCTTGGTCTGTAGTGCTCTTCCTGTCACGAGCAGACCCCGTGACGCTGGACTAATCTACTTCGTCCTCATACCAACTGCCTTCGTGCTCAATCGCGTATCCGCAGCTGCCATGGACATTCAGTCAGCTCTGTAACATCGTCTCTGTCCAACCTTCAGGTCTCCCCATATCAATTGAATTTCAGTGACAATCATGCCCGGCTCAGACACAAGCGACGAGTTCAACGATGATGTAGCCATCCCTCTACACCCATGATTCATTATTTCCTATGAGCAATTTACTATTTATCTTATAACCATGAATTGACAATCATGTCTTTGACAGGTCTTCATCCTTGATATCGATAACATTCAAGCCCATGGTATATACTCGTCACTTCTCACTTCCTTTCACCTCCGTATACTAATAGTATGTTCAAGGCATCGGAGTAGCGGATATCACAAAGCTGAAGACGAACGGATACTATACCGTTGCTGTATGGATAGTCCGGTCTCCTTGATGTTTGAAGAGAGCCTCGCTGTTAACCTGCTCAGTCTGTTCACGGTGCCACACGCAAGAACCTGTTGAAGATAAAAGGGTTCAGCGAGGTCAAGGTCGAGAAAATCAAGGATGCTATTCAGAAGAGCTTGGTATGTATACTACATGATGATATTAGGGGTTATTGTATATGAGTGAGGTGCTAACTGTCTACCCATACAGCCCTCGGCTTCGGGTTTTATCACGGCAATGGAACTCTGCCATCAACGGAAGAGGATTGTTAGGATTTCTACTGGGAGTAAACAATTCGATTCTATCTTAGGAGGGTAAGTGATTACCTTCCTCTTCTTTACTGCTATAAGGGGGAAAGGCTAACTTGATATCACCTAGTGGCTTCCAAAGCATGAGCATCAGCGAAGTCTTCGGCGAGTTCCGATGCGGCAAGACTCAGTTATCGCACACCATGTCTGTTGTAGCCCAGCTTCCTAAGGAACTGGGCGGCGCAGGCGGCAAGGTGGCATATATTGATACCGAGGGAACTTTCAGGCCTGAGCGCATCGCTCAGATTGCAGAGCGGTTTGGCGTCGATGCTGATGCTGCCCAGGAGAATATTGCTTATGCGCGAGCGTTGAACAGCGAGCATCAGCTGGAGTTGTTGAATACCCTCAGTAAAGAGTTCGCTGGTGGGGAATACAGGTTGTTGATCATTGATAGCATCATGAATTGCTTCAGGGTCGACTATTGTGGACGCGGAGAGCTTGCTGATCGTCAGCAGAAGTTGAATCAGTTCTTGATGAAGTTGGCTCATATGGCTGAGGGTATATTTTTCACTCCTGATATATATATATCAAGTACTAGAGGGCTGACATTTTCGTTTGCAGAATTCAACATCTGTGTTCTGATGGTCCGTTCCCCATCGACATGCAGATAGATAGATATAGTCTAATGCACTGCAGACCAACCAGGTCCAGAGTGACCCTGGCGCTAGTGCACTCTTCGCTGGAGCCGATGGCCGCAAGCCCGTTGGAGGTCATGTCCTGGCACATGCATCGGCGACTCGAGTGCTCCTCCGCAAGGGTCGTGGTGAAGAGCGAGTGGCTAAGATACAGGACTCGCCAGGTATGCCACAGTGTATACGTCCCATTCTAGTACTTTAACTGTCAACAGACTGCCCTGAGAGAGAAGCGACGTATGTCATCACCAATGGTGGGATCAATGATCCTGATAAGGCGTAGTTCCGATAAAGACTTGGTTCGTGACGGAGCATAGAAAGAATCGTGAAGAGGCCATATGGCACATGCTAAGAGTGCACTTCTTTTTTTTATTTCTGCTGAATGCGATCTATCTGCAACAACGATGAACTACAATGTCAGCAACAAATTGATTCTGAATTTGAGGTCAAGTACTTCCAAGTTACTCCATAGTTATCGGGTAAAGCAAACAGCTCTCTCCGCCTTCTAAACTGCCGTTGCAAAATTTCCCGCTAAAGTAAAAAAAGTCTCCGCCAACTATTTTGCGGCGCTACAATTTCCGCAACCCCTACCAGTCAATCACTCCTTTACTTCTTTCTTCACCTTGAAAACAAGTAACTCCGAGAGTGTCAGCCAATATGAAGAAAGACCTCGAGATTGCAGGATTCTCAATCCTGCCCCTACACTTCCCCGCAACACCAGCATTCCCCAAGCCAGCAACACACTACCTCTACCTCCGCGCCCACGAGCCTCGCATCCCAGATGCGGACACCCCCCGCTCCATGTTCATCGTGAACATCCCCGTCGACACGACCGAAACCCACCTGCGCCACCTTTTCGGCACCCAGCTCTCCGCAGGCCGCGTAGAGCGCGTTGAATTCGAAGCCGTCCCCACCAAAAAGAAGGGCATGCAAGCCACCCCTCAAGGCAACATCGCCAGCAGCAAGAAACGCAAGCGCGTCACCGCCGACGAACTCCAAGCACAGCTGGACGATGTCGATCTCCCCGCTACCTGGGACCGACAGCTCCAGAAGAGCGGATCGCACGCGATCGTCGTCTTCGCCGACAAGCCCAGCATGGAGGCGAGTTTGAAAGCGGCGCGCAAGGCCGCGAAAAAGGGCACGGAGATTGTCTGGGGTGAGGGTGTGGAGGGTGATCGGGTACCTGCTCTGGGCTTGCAGAGGTACATTACCCATGAGCAGTTGAGGTATCCGGATCGAGCGGAGTTGTTGCGCACCGTCAATGATTACATGACGGTGTTTACGCAGGTTGCGGAGGTCAGGAAGAGGGAGGAGGCGCGCAGGGCGCAGGAACCCGACGAGGATGGATTTATTACTGTTACGTCTGGGCCGAAGTTGGCGGAGGCTGCTCATGAGGATGAGGCTAAGGAGTTGATCGAGAAGCAGAAGGAGAAGTCGAAGGGATTGGAGGACTTTTATCGCTTCCAGTCGCGTGAGAAGAGAAAGGAGAAGCAGAACCAGCTGCTTAAGAAGTTTGATGATGATAGGAGGAAGTTGGCGGATATGAAGAAGCGAAAGGGGAAGATTGCGGTATGTTTTCCCTTTTCTCCCCTCATTGATTTTGATGTGTAGGTGCTAATGGTGTCTCAGCCTGAGTGATCTTGTTCTTTCGACTGTTTGGCATTGTTGGGTCGGTTTAGCATGGCGTTTGGGGGTTCGTCCAAAAAAGTGCTTTATTCGATAGAGAATTGGCTTGGAGGGATGCCGGATGATGTGAGTTTGGACACTTTCTTTTCTTTTGTATGGTCTGCACTGCATATGATGAATCCGCTGGGGCCAGAGTAGCAAGACTCTGCAGTCGCTTGATGTCATGCTATGTCTACAAAAACCAGCTTATTCCAATCTTCTCACCTATCTGAAGCAATTCTTTTCGCCATTTGCTTATCTAGATGAGTTCTGTATGCACTGCTGACTTGCTGGCTTAGGCATATGTTCGCTTATTGTAGACTAGATATATATATAACGTGATTATATGATGTCCATATTCAATCCTACACGTGTAGTTGTAACATGTAACTCCCATTCCTTGAATTATGTATATAAGTTGTCGACATCCATCCAACATTCAGTATAGTAACGCACAGACCAACCCGGCTTGGCGATGACATCGTCGGCGCGGCGCATCGCATCGCATCGCATCGGACAATCAAGAGATCAACCAAAGAGCATCAGATCAGATCAGCCCACCTAAAGACAACAACATGCATACCCATAATATCTAGCAGAAGCAACAGCAACATCTGGAATCTAGAGTCCACCTCGTGTCCGCAAACAATCTACTACCCCACACCACCACCACCACCCCACCATTTGACTACCTCATCGCAACTCCAAAAAAGAAAAAAATCTCAACCTCACTCTTCACTACACAACCAAACAATGACCTCTACAACAACTACCAGCGGAGAAGGAGAAAGAGGAGGAGGTTTCCTTCCCCCAACCCTCCCATCCCCAGCCCCCTCCAACCCACGACCAAGCACGCCCTCCCTCCTCCCTAAACCCCGAACACATCCTCTCCGCGCGGGCTCCGCCAAAGAAGCAACGGTGATTAATCACATCGATACAACTCTACTGAGGATTTCGCGTCGGCATGCGAAGAAGTTCAGCAGTGCTTACTATAAGCCTGACGATGAATCCAACTCCAATGCAAACTATTCTCCGGAATCATTCTCAGCCCGAGGTTATGGGAAGGGAGAAGAAGAAGGGGAAGTACAAGGCTATGAAAGCTTCAAAGAAGTAGCTCGTGATTTGGAGGGTTTGGTGGATGTGCTTTGGGTTAGTGGGACGCGTATGTATCCCCTCTCTCTGTCATCCTTTTTTCTTTATGTTCTGAGCGAATGCTAATATGAACCTGGAACAATAGCATCTCTCCAAATCCCCTACCTCATCTCCCTAGCCATCCAAGTCAACTCCTACCTGCCCGAGTATCCCTTCTCGGCGGCGCCTACGTTCCGGTTACTGCGGAAGTTGGATGAGGTGTTTGCGGAGCTTTTAGGTGGTGGTAACGAGGAAAGAAAGAGTGTGGTGTCTATGACGGAGAAGGTCCGGATCAAGAGTATTGCGGAGTCGTGTCGGGTGTTGGTTGTTGAGACGAGAGAGAAGGAGAATGAGGATGCTAACGGGGAGGATGACTATGATGAGGATGAGGATGAAGAGTTTGAGGATGTCTATGGGAATGCAAATAAACTGGAGGATTATATGCCCATTCCTGGGAAGTGGGAGATGGAGACGGCGAAGGTTTATGAGAGGACGATTCAGTTGTTGGGGGATGAGTTGGGTAATGTGGGTGAGTATTGTGATGAGGATTTGGCGGCCGGGGAGGAGGGGGCTTGTGATATGGGGGATTTTGTGGTTGAGTTGGAGGATGAAGATGATGAGAGGTGATATCCTATCGTCTGTACCTTTCGGGTTGGTTTGATGGTATATGGGATGTGGTGTGGTGCTGAGGCGAGAGTGCTTTCTATGTGGTATAATGTCTGCGCAGTGAGTATCAGGGCGTCTATGGCGTTGGTGGAGAATAAGGACACTTGGATTGTTGGTATTACATCTTGATATTAAGGGTGCATAACGAGGGCTTGGAGTCACACTTTGTTTGTGTTCTATCATTCGTTACAGTCTCTATCGCCGGGCTCAACCACTCCTCTCTAATTATTGTATTCTACTACAGCAATGCCACACGGCAACAGTAGTAGTCTAGACTTCAGTGACTTTGTCCCGATTTCCGGCCCGACATGGACCATATTAATAATAATAATAAGCCCATGCTCCAGATGTTGCCGCATCCGCGTCCCTAACAACCGAAGCTGACACGAACCAAGAAAGAGGCTGTGACCGCGTAGCCGTTCGGAGGGACCGGGATCGATGTGAGTGGGGATGTGCTTGCTGAACTGGTGAGAGTTTCGGACAATCACCTACCCTACCTCAGCTGGGAGGAGTGGACATGAGTGGGTCGTTGAGAGGTGATTCTTGGATGGTTCGTACGGACTTGTACTTGCGGACAAGTAGAAGAGATCTTCAGTTACTCTGTAGTAGAGCGTTGAGGAATAATATACGTTGCCCTATGAGACTTTCAGCTTCAGCTTAGTTTCACCCGATATGAAACAACAGCTAGGACCCTCCTTCCCTGGGACACTCTGGTGGTATTGAGATATCGACATCCATGGTTCATCATGGAACCTCCATTTCAGCAACAAAAGATTACAGTGAAGGCCCTGTCCTGTATCAGGATTCCAGCCCAAGGTACTTATAGTAGGAATCCCTGGTTGAGGGTCCCCGGCCGAAAAGCAAGAAAGGGTTGGTGGAGGGTGTGTATCGATAACGGCCAGGTGCAAGGAGAAGGAAGGCGGAAATCTGCAAGGGACGGGCTGCTGAACAAGCAGCGGCATGATAGTGTAACCAACCCGACCCTACTTGCTTCTCATGTATGTTGCATATGTGGCATCTAAATGATACCTGCATGGCAAATATGTGCTGATAATAAAGGAGGGTGAGCAAACAGTTCTTCTGGTTGTGTAGTTGATCATAATCACCATCGACCTGGTGTAGTTGGAAGTAAGGGTGGCCCAAGCTAGGAAAGGACACACTAGGCAGCCTTATTCCTTGTAGATATTCCGTAGTTATTATTATGACCTTCAATTAGATCGATCTCTTCATCTCCATCCCCCTCCCTTCCCAATCTTCCGGAATTTGCTCACGGTACACATGGAATCAGGGGAAGAAAACCCATAGATAGCTCCCTTGCTCATGCCAATGACCTTTCCATGGGATGATAGTGATGATGATGGTGATGATGATCGTTCTCCGGACGCATTCGAGCTAATTACCATCCTTTTCCCGGAGTTGATGACGCTCGTATTCTTGCCACCTGAAGTTGCGTTGACTGGTTCTTCCCAACACCCCAAGTAGGTAAAGTTATTACCACACGGGATCCTGCAGTCAGTCAATCGGTCGGTCGCGTCGCGTGCGCGTCGAGGCCAGCCAAGCTGAGAGTTAAACTAGAACAATTATACATACAGACACTAGAGTTTAGATCATAGAACATAGACATAATACCACCACCACATGCCCATTGTGAATTGAAACAGACTAGCTAGAATCTGGAACGATGGGAAAAACCATGAATCAGCCCCCTTCGGCCCTTCACGAGGCTGAAGGAATTCTGTCTCAGACACCGAACAAACAACTCGTGGGATTCCAGAACCCGCAATCTGACTTGCCTGATTAGGCGCGGGCGGTACTGTTGTAAACTTGTAATGGCAATGACAGGCTGCGGTGGCCCAAAATTACCATACGAGCCGTCGGTGCCCGGATCCTGACCAATGGGCACCACATGGACCTCATTTCCATGGTTCGAGCTGGTCCCAGTGGAGTCGCCCTCACATGGAATGAATGGTCGCCCTTTTTTGCTTCGCTCATCCATTTTTCTTTTTATATAATCGCGGCTAATCCACACCACAAACCTTGTGTGTGCGGAATTTCCTGGCTATGACCTCAATTGGAATGAATGTTGATAGTCTTTTCGCTTTTGCTCACTGAAGTCAATCTGGCAGCAAGCTTGATACTCTCTAGTATCTATTTAGTTACATATTACATATTGTACTTGGTTAGAGTCAATCAGTTGATCGATTTCCGCTTATTTCCTTAGTCTTGTTCGCTTTGACCATCTCCCCCGACGGCCACTATCTATTATTAACGTGAACCACAGACACTGTCTCCAATGGACTATGGTACTGTGTGTCAATAGGTAATGCCTCCCATAAATTTGATCAATTAATCCTTCGAGTGTGCTAGTGAGAAAAAAAATTCACATTTAACTTATTCAGAGTATAGCACCATCCACACCCACATGGACCGTTCTTGCTTCTCGAATGTCTCCTGGGTACCCGATTAGTCCTCCGTCATAGACAGTAGCAGGCTAGCTGCTCCACGATCCATGGGTCTGGGGCGCATTGGTGGGGGCCATTTTTCCTTTCATTGAACTTTTCCCACAAAGTCCAGGCGCTGCCAGTTTTACCCGGTCATCGGTCTGGTTGGTCATTTGATTGTTGTTGAGAGTTTCTTCGGGGCAATTTAATCCCCTGTTAGAAAAAAGAGGGCAAAAAAAAAGTATTGATCCATTAAGACCGCCATTTCAGCGCCCCCATTCTCCCGCCTCTCCATCCACAAAGTTCAGCTAACATCTACTTACCATTCAGCCGCCCAGCTGGAAACAGAACAACTGTCCAGTAGGGCAGTAGGAAAAACAGATGGTCGATCCAAAAGGTGAACAATGAGAAAGGGCTGAGGTGTGGCTGCAAACGGCAATCGATCTACGAAAATGATGAATGGCCGTCGAGGGCCATTCCCCCCGACCAGGCCAGGGCGGAGAACGGGACAGGACCTATGACGATAAGGGCCCATGGGACGCGAATGGAACCCGACGAGTCACAACGCGAGACCACGCAGGGAAAAGGCCTCACGCACTTTCTTTCTGGCCGTCCTGGTCGCTCTCTGCATGTGCATTCGCTCAGGTCCTTGCAGATTTCGTGCAGCGATTCGGCCATATTTATGAATCCTCAAGGTAGGTACACGTCGATCACGATCCTTCGTCTACTTTTGCCTCTTTTTTTCGCCCTTTGTTGGTTTTGTTTTTTGATTGCCATGTATCTCTCAATTGATCACTTATTCCCACCACCTACACCCTTTCAAGGGGGTCTTGATCGTCCCCTTGCCTCATGATGATGTGCTTGCGAATAAAGACCCCCCAATTTCCCTCCATCTTGGGGAGTGGTGTTCATTCAGAATGTCGATATAATGAGCACATGCTATCCTCCCTACATGATTCGAGAGATCGTTATCAAACCTCTCGATTCTCGTTGAAGTCGATGAGCAGATAGATCAAGTTGTGGTATGTATACACTGGTTTAGACAAGCCCCAAGCCATGGTTTGTTCGAAAAGCCTGGCGGTTTTTTAAGCTTCATTGAATTCCAAGTTATCGGATTCTCCCATTCACCATCAACATTATGTGAAAGAGCGAAAACTATGGAAATCAATAAGGAAAATAACAAAAATAAAAGAAGAAAAACAAAAAGAAAAGAATGCAGACTTTATTGCCTAGGGTTGTTCAACTACCAAAAAAATAGTACAAGAATAATTGCATGCGATGGAAATAAGGACCATGTCAGGTTGCAAACTCGCAGGCTGCAGCAGTCATCTGGTCGCAGCGTGTTTGGTTGGGCTGGGTCCGACGGTGGATGTATCCACTGCATGGCCCTGGGATTAACACCTCGCTGTATTGGGTCTGTCGCAGCAAGCAGGGTAGGCAGGTATCCGCGGTGGAAGGTACCTTTTATAGGTAAAGTAGTACTTCAGTAGCTCTCCCCTAGCTTCACTACCAAGATTATCTACATACATACATACATACAGCAGTCATTGAGTACATCATGAATAACTCAATGGCTCGAGGGAGGAGATTAAAGGGTAGACAAGACCGCGGTTGTAAGAAGAAGATTATCTTGAGAAAAGCAAAGAGTCAAGATAAGACTGTAGTAATTATTTCCTGACTCTGCAGTTGATATCTGGATCATGATCTAAAACATACATACAGCAAGGTCGTACACCCGACAGAACAATCCAATTCCAATCTGAATGCTTATGGATACCAAGACAATACCAATACTACTTCCCAAACTGTGTGTATGTATGTATGTATGTATGTATGTTTGTATCATCATTATTTCCCGCCACGGCCACACGATTCCCACCAGGATGAAATCCAGATCGACAAGACCCGGTCCTCTTTTTTTCTTTTCTTTTCTTTTCCTCCTTCTTTTTCGATTTTTTTTCTTGCTGCTGGCTAGACTAACTGACTAAGAGACAGAAGACAGAAGGGTAACTAATACAGAAGAAAAGAAACAAAAAGAAGAAAAAAAATATTGTGAAGGAGAAGATGGGAAACAAAAGTGGAAATATCCATTAAAATAAAAAAGAATAAAATAAAATACCAAATTAAAAATGAAAAGAAAAAAAGGAAGAAAAATCGACCCAAAAGAAAAGCCCCGTCAGAGCCTTTCCTGAGTCGGCAAACTTTCGTCCCACCCAGCTGGCAGCGCTTCTTGCTGCTGCGCCCGCCCCTCATCTCCTCACAGTCCGTAGTTTTAGCAGCAGCAGTAGACTAGCAGCTAGCAGCAAACAGTAAGCAGAAGCAGCAAGCAAGCAGCAGCAGCAGCTGGAAGCAGCAAGAAAATCAGGCCCAGTAAACCCAAGACAAGACCTGCTTTGGCTCCTGCGTGCTTTGGTGCTTGTGTGCTTGATTATTCATTATTCTTATTGGGTTTTTTGGTTTGTTCGTCTAAACGATTTTCTGCTTTCTCCCGTCCCTGGTCTGCCCTAGCAGTAGTACGTAGTAGTAGCCATTCTTTCCCTCGTTTTCCTTCCCTTCCCTTTCCCTTTCCCTCCCCTCCATCCTGAAGAATTAATCTTTCTTCTACCCCTCCTCGCCTCTTCCTCGTTTCTTCCTTCTCTCTTCTCTCTCTCTCTTCCCTCCCCTCCCCCCCCAATAATATCTCCCTCCTTCAGTCCTTCTTACCGTTCCCTTGTTCTTATCGGAAAAGACGGAGTTGGTTTGCGGACAGTTCTTCTGTAACTCTTCTTTGTGCCTTTTCCTCTCTCTTTCTTGAATTTCTTATTATCTTTTCTCCACCTCGCCGGAGTTATCTCGAGTTCTCTCCAGTTCCTGATTTCTCTGACGCCCGAGTCTTCCACGCATCCTTGCTATTTGCGCCAAAGCAACGCAACTCAACGCTTCGCTTTTCATTACCTGGTAAGTTACTTCCTTTTTGTTTTTTTATACCTTCGCATCGACTCGTATGTCATATTTGTTTTTTTCTTCTCCACGTTTCTCCTCACTTTTCCCCCTCTCCTCTTCCTGTCCCGGTGCCTGGCTGTGTGTGGTTGCGACGGAAATCGCCTACCACTGTCTCGGGTCCATCATCGCTTCTTATGCATCCAGAAGCATGGAACCACCGATTTGTTGGAAGCGACATTGGTTGAATTAGTCGGCTGTGGGCGAACATGTCCACCGATTACTCTGCATCCGGGTTGTTGAAAATGGCTTTCCACTTCCGTCCGGCACGGTCTGTCAGCGACCATTCTGCGCCTTACGATTATCTCGCCCTGATCTATTTCACGATGAGTTTCGGACGGTCGCTCAGCCATCAACTCGTCCATGGCCCTTTCTGCGCCTCGGTCTTAAATGGTTGGAATACGTCTCGGCTGTTGCATGGCTTCTGTGTTGCAGGTCCGCTGAAGACTGGGTGGATCGATCGGGTCGGTCGCAACCGGACCGGATGTGGCCTTCTCTTGGTGTAATCCTCGACGAACGCGGCCATGCTATGGTGACAACGCCTATTTCTGGCTATTCACGCATTGTCACCTTCAAATCTACTACAACTCTTCCGGTTTTGTTCGATTCACTTCATGGATCTTGTATCTTTCCGGCTATTCCATTGCGACCACCCGAGGAACCTGAATCTTGGCACCTGACGGAGCGGGCCTGCAAGTCAAGGCTGATTCCATCTTCTCGTCGTCTCCCAACTTTCACCGAGTCACTCTTTCAACCAATTTTTCTGCCGGCCGCCATCCTGGGGGATTCTTCACGTTCTTCAATTATTTTCCGCTCCGTCAATGCTTTCTATCTGAGCTACCGCAAACCTGTGGATCGGACTTTTCTTTTTTTTCTCCTGTTCTTCATTCTTGATTTTCCTCGTGCTTTTCTGCCTCGCCTACTTTGGTTACTTTGTCATTGCTCAAGGAAATACGCTCTTGAATTCCGCTCTTCGGTACTAACAGCGTTTCGTGCAGGTAGTGATACGCATTTCTAGTCATTTCCAAGTCTGAACGATCGCACGCAGTTCTTTCCTTGACGACTCCTACGAAACCCCATTCGCACGGGCCAATTTCGGTATAGAAAAGTTTGTTTGCTTGGGTTTCTGCTCTTTTACCTGCACTAAGGTATGCGCAACTGCGACTGGCCAGCCCTTGATCATTTTCTTCTGAAGGGTGTCGCTAATATCCCTGTTTGACTCGCAGATACCTATCTCGCAGTTATTATTACGAAAGTCGAATTTTTACGTCAACATGTCTTTCCAGAACTTTGATTCTTTCCAAAACCAGCACCCTGCTGCTGACGCCGCCGCTGCCGCTCCTGGCGCTCCTGCTACCGCGGACACCGCCATGACCGGCCAGGCTGACCCTACCACTGCCCCCTTCCAGGGTCCTGCTCCCGGGGAGCCCACTGCTGCCCCTGTTCCCCAGCAGGCTAACGAGGGAAAGACCACCCTCTGGTAAGCTTGCCCAATGCGGTATCTTCTTGTCCGCGCTGTTGCTGACTCGTTTTGCCTTTTAGGATGGGTGAGCTTGAGCCCTGGATCGATGAGAACTTCGTTCGCAACCTCTGGTTCCAGATGGGTGAGCAGGTCAACGTTAAGATGATCCGCGACAAGTTTTCTGGGTGAGTACATAATAACGCTGGATTTGGTTTGAAGGCGATCCTAATGTTGGTAGTAGGAGCAACGCCGGTTACTGCTTCGTCGACTTCGCGTCCCCTGCCGCTGCCGCCAAGGCTCTGTCCCTGAACGGCACCCCCATGCCTAACACCAACCGTCTGTTCAAGCTCAACTGGGCTACCGGTGGTGGTCTTGCCGACCGCAGGTAAGGAGAAGATGCCCCCACCCCCAACATCCTCAAACTACAAGCTAACATTCCATATAGCCGTGATGACCGTGGCCCTGAGTACTCGATCTTCGTTGGTGACTTGGGCCCTGAGGTCAACGAGTATGTCCTCGTTTCTCTCTTCCAGAGCCGCTTCCCGTCCTGCAAGTCTGCCAAGATCATGACCGACCCTATCAGCGGCATGTCTCGTGGCTACGGCTTCGTCCGCTTCTCCGACGAGAACGACCAGCAGCGGGCTCTGAGCGAGATGCAGGGTGTGTACTGTGGCAACCGTCCCATGCGCATCTCTACTGCTACTCCCAAGAACAAGGGCCCCAGCCTTGGTGCTGCCGGTGCCATGGGCATGCCCGGCCCCGCGGGCATGTACCCTCCCATGGGCGCTCCCCCCATGGGCTTCTACGGTGCTCCCCAGCCCATGAACCAGTTCACCGACCCCAACAACACCACCGTTTTCGTTGGCGGTCTGTCTGGCTACGTTACTGAGGACGAGCTCCGCTCTTTCTTCCAGGGCTTCGGTGAAATCACCTACGTCAAGATCCCCCCTGGAAAGGGCTGCGGTTTCGTCCAGTTCGTCCAGCGCCATGCTGCTGAGATGGCCATCAACCAGATGCAGGGATACCCCATTGGAAACTCCCGTGTGCGTCTGAGCTGGGGTCGCTCTCAGAACAACTCTGGCCCTGCCGGCAGCCCCTACCGTCCTGCTCCCCCTCCGCCTCCCATGTACCCCTCCATGGGCATGCCCCCCGCTCACGGATACGGCGGCTTCGCGCCTATGAAGGTCGGTTCCCCTTGAACTCTCCCTCCGAGGCTGGTGGGGTTCAGAGCATGACTAACGCCCAGACTTAGTAAAAGAGCTTTCCATTTTAGTTTGAAAGAACCAGCAGGAGTTTTGTCATTTCACGATGGGTCTTTTGTGTTATAAGTCTGCCATGATCTCTGCGAAAGTTACCCTCTATAGCTCTGGATGGGCATTTTCTCCTGTGCTACGTACTTCATATGCGAGCGCTTCCATTGTTAGCCAGATTTGAGCTCTGATTTCATCGTTATCTATCTTCACGTTTACCATTATTCTGTTCTCCCATTCCCCCTTTTTTTTAAACCTCCCCAAATCTCCTTCGCCACTCCCCCAATCTTCATATGTTACATCCGTTTCTTCCCTTTATCCCATGCCCGCTTTTTTACATTCTCCTCACGTCTTCGGGCCCTAGGTCTATGTTATTATGCGTATGACGGCAATCGGAATTGTTGAATGCGCGTGCGGTGTTCCCCTTTATTCCCTGGGCAGGCTTTCTGCGAAAAGTTCCTCTTCTGAAGCCCTTTCTCATGAAGCAATCCAATCGTATTCTTGTTTCGTTGTGAGGATGTTACGTCGTGCTTCTTAGACCGGGCGGCCTGTACAACATGTTTCCACCTCGCCTTTTATTTCTCTCAATTCAGTCTATTATGGAGCACAATGCTTTCTCTCGCTCTTTCCATGCTGTCCTTATGCTGGTCCTGCCTCCGTCTTGCGTCTGGCGCGTTCCGCGGATGTTTTGGACGGCTTGGTTTGTGCACTCTTTCTCGTTCCCCTCCAGGGTGTGCGGGACTTGGGGCTGGTGTTGATGGTTTTCTGACAGGACCGGTTCTTTCTAAAGCGTCTATCTCTTCATTTAAACTGTAGTTACTGGGTGGTGGGTGGTGTTCTGTTCCTACCTATCCTCGGGCACTGATGGCGGCATCCTGTTGTGAACAATCCATCTTTGGGAGAGGGGCGTTCGTAAGTCTGGTTGTTTTCCTTGTTGTCGCCGAGGAGGGTGTTCTTACAGCGTCAATCCCAATACTGACATGTCCATTTACTCGTTATTCTTACGGATGATTCCCCCTTCGCTCTGCAGTGAGCTCTGTGTTCCTTTTCGCAACTGCTTTGCCTATGTGTGTATCCACCGTGATTGCGGGCGTGACATTGTCGAGCATCTCTGCTCGCATCTGTTCCTCGTGTACATGGGACCTGATAATAGATGCCTTAACAATCTGAATTGGGCGCATGTCGCCAGGTCTGCATTCTTAGAACTTTTTAACCCATAATTCCTTCCTATTTTGTCTTACTCTTTCGGTCTTGTGGTTCGTACCTGCCCTTCCTAAATTGATCCGGATTTGTCTGTAAATCTTCTTATCTGGAAGGGGATGTCCCTCATGAGGCAGGTGCGAATCCCGGTGCGTCTTCTCCTTTGCCTGCTCGTCCCCTGATGCCTCATCCATCATCTGTCTCCTCGCCATCGTGGAGGAGATACCTACTTCTCTCTTAGGAACCCCTCCCCTTCCACTCGGATCGGTTCAGTTCTCTTTACTCTTAGTATCTTAGTCCCTGCTCGAGGTCCAATTTCTTCCTTTTTCCTCATTTTAATCCGCAGAGAATAGTCCTTTGGGCAGCCAGGATGCGGTACGAAGATTGGGACGTGATCCTCTTCCCCGAATCGTCCAAGGTGCCCATTCAGGAATTCAAGACCCAATGTTTTGTCACCAAGGATAGAGGTCAGTGTCGTTGGGAACCGGAGCAAATTCGTGGCTTGGCCTATTGCTAACCCCCAATCAATCAACCAGACTCACCCTACCTGCATAGTCCCGGTCTTGTCAGTCCGGCTACTTGTCCCTTGCCACAGAGCAATGAGGGCCAGTTGCCGGTTCTCACTACTTTCGTCCCAAGTTTGCGTCACAACACCCCATTTCGTGTGTCCGTCCATAGCTGGCAGAAGCCTACACCCAGTCGTTTGATGGAAAGCCTCTTGCAGCCAGACGATGCAGTGCTTTTCGAGGTGCGGGTCTTTATTGATGGCTTGTGTGTGTCGTAGGTGATTGCCCGAGCTTTCAAACCGGAGGCTATAACTGAATCTTTGTGTCATAGAGGCAGCGTGTTCCATCAGAGATCGGGCTGGCCTCATGTTATTGGTGAGCAGAATTGATCCTGTCCGTTACCAGAGTCATAGCTGACCCTACTCTCTCATCTCTAGACCTAAGTTCGTGTATGCTTGCATCAATCCTCTCTCATAGTCCACCACTCTAGACACGAAACATCGCCTAACAGCAAACTTTCTAGACGTCGATAAGACTGGCAATCAGGATAGCCTCCGTTTTCCCCCTTTTCATCAGGAGATTTTAGAACAGAGACATTGGGATGCAGCTGAGCTATACGGTAGGATTAGAGTTGTGATTGCTGAGGGCTTCTGTCGCCCACACCGCTATCCACCGTTCGAGAGAGTCAAGGAGATCATCGCATTTGCCTTTCAGCATGCCCCACTGCGTAGGTGCTTACCTCAGAAGATTGTTTTTCATAATCGTACTAACCCCTTGGGTCTAGAGGTCCTGGAGCATTCCAATATCGCCTGGCCGAACCCTTCAATGTGGACACGGGAGCCACGACTTTTCAAGTACAATTCGGGCATCGACCCTGCCATTTTGACAGCGGAGGACTCGCACGCCCACTCTCCCAGCAAACAAGGTGCTCAGGGGCGGATGCTCGCTCCCAGAAGCCAAGTAAGCAGTCTTTCAGGCAATTCCTGGGCATATCGAAGCTATCAAAGATCGGTTCAAATGCCTCTGCCCCAGTGGCAGGGCCAATGCATGCCAGATCCCTTCACTGACCCTGTTATCCGGCATCGAGGTGCACGATCATCTTGCGAGGATGTTCCCATGCCTGATTATATCTCTAGCTCCGGAAGTAGTCGTGCCATCTCCAGTATGACGGGCATTAGCTACGAGCATAGCAAACATCACAGCATAGTAACCCCCGTCGATGACGAGTCATACCGGCAGCTAATTGAAGCATTGAGTCCGCCAAAGCCACTGACCCTGTTCGGCATTTCTGCACCCACAAATACCCCGTCCACTGCTTTACCCATGGGGAACAAGCTTTCTGCAGCTGCCGAAGCGCGTTCTGCACCCTACACTAAAGGCAGCAGCCGGACATCGGTCTTAAAGGAGATCTCGCTTCCTGGGACCAGAGAAACGTCTGGATCCAGCACTAAATCCACCGCTGCTTCGGAAGCAACGACTGAGGGAGCGGCAACTACCAAGATTCATGCTACTCCTAGCCCGCGCGTCAAAAGCCGGAAGGAGGGCATGTCCCAGGCCAAGGACAATGAATCTTCGGGTGGCTCGCCACTCAAAGTGAAAGATAAATCCCGCGGAACCCCTCCCAGGCTGGTCGTGCGTACCAGCGGAGGCGTGGAAACCCCAACCCGGTCCAGCCGCAAGTCATCTACAGGTTCTGCCCGTGCGGAGGTCTCTCCCATTTCCTAGGGTGCCACGGCCATACGTCTGCTAGCTCGGCATTTCTCTTGTGAACGCTAACATCTATCACTGCCTCGATGCAGGCTCCCAGCTTGCCGGGTCAGCGCGGTAGCAGTTACTGAGATGGATTGAACTATTCTTATATGGTCAAGAAAGGCACGTAGTTCCAGTGCACTTGCTTGCGTCTTTTCCTAGCTCGTTAGCTTCCGTTGTTTATTTCATTCGGTTGTCAGCGAATTCTAAGATAAGGCGTCAATGTTGAGGTCCCAATCATGGCCGACGAACTCTCGTTACCTTCTATATCAATTGCTATGAAGACTGTATCTCCTTGGGTTGCGACGTGCGAATGTGTCGATTAGTACATGTTTTCCAGCCCAAAATGATTTGTTCTAGCATCCAACGTACTTAGTCTAGTGGTGGTAGCAGCAGCTAGGAGGGTAGTGAGTACCATTAGTATAGCTTGCAGAATCCACAGACTAGTTATCCTCAGAGATTGAAACGTACCAAACAACAACGACCAGTCCTTTTGGCTTCTTTTGCATGCCTTCCGTTCCTGGATTATTATCTTCACACCGTTTATCCTGATCTCAGTGAAACTCAATGCCTTACCATCTCTTTCCAACTCTTCTCCCACCACAATCCCGACCGCTAGGCGATACTAATAAACATATTGCAACACGCTTAATCTTGAGACAGACTCTCTACCAGCCTATCTGACATGCACAGACCTCACATCACCTACACACACTCGCTCTCCTCTGTCAAATGCTCAGAAGTTGAACTAATCTAAACTAAACTAATCTAGAGAAGGCTAACGAGCGTCCCGCAAGCAGTACACAGTGTACAAATTGATGTTATTTATCTGCCTACTTTGATCCCTTTCCCTTAGTCAAGCTACTATCATCCCCCGTACCCATTACCATACCTTTTGGAATACGTCTGCTGGGATTGAGGGAGTGGTTACCATGACCATACCATGATATTATACCCCATTTACCTACTGCCTCTCATCTGTAATAGTCGTTATTTATCCAATGATGCACTCGGCACTAGACAGCCGAAAGGATCATACGCTCGGACAAATCCATCTGCACGTCCTCGAGGACGAATCCAGATCTGTATTCGACATCACCTGTTATGACATTTCCCCGGGTCTGATGCTCAGCTCCACGGCGATGTGATGTATTCCTCTTATGCCTCCGGGTCAAGATATTCCCCAATTGGGATATTGCCTAGGCAAGCCATCCACCCAGAAAATACCGGTTTGAAGATCAGAGAACCATAATTCAGCGAGATCCTTACACTTCATTTGTCAATTGATACTTCCTGTGCAGGGGGCCGAAATAGCAGGAAGATGATCTCTCTCTCTCTAGCTAGTAAGTTGTATTCCGTGAGGTATACACGCCGTTTGATATGTCCAGCCGGCGTGTTCCACACATGACTGGGTAATGTCATTCTTCGTCAGCATTAGGATGGTTGGTCTTGTGTAAAAACTGAGTATACGCCCTGACATCGACAGATCCATCAAACACGGACTGGAAGGGCATATTAACAGCTCTCATGACGAGTTCTGTGGTGGATGTTTGGCGTGGTGAACATTCTTGAATTAACTCGAGAGGATGGTACCATTCTGAGAAGTAGTATCCTTGGGCATGGACTCGGGCAGACAGTGGCTTTCATTCCATTGATCCCTATTTGTACTTATGGAGTGTCCAGGCAGTTGTATACTATCAATGTGAATTAGATGGTTATTGGCACTTTATTAAGAAGTTGAGGAGGGACTTGTATTTGACTTGTTATATGTATGCACGCATGTGTGCAGCCATGCAGCTAGCTAGCTGCAGTAAGCAGTAAGCAGTAAGTAGCTTGTTTGGTACCGAGGGTGTTGAAGATCACTATGACTATAGCGTAGTTACACTGTGACAAGTATTGTAGTGTTGATGGAGCCAATGCCAAGCGATCAGTTATCATTCTACCCTAGAGGACAGATACAAAGTAGCTAACTAGCTATATGATAAGATATGTACCAAAGAGGGGGGGGGGGGGGAAGGGAGAAACGAACAGACAGCTGAGACTGGTTTCAATCTACTCCAAATTTCGCTTTTGGCCTGGTTCCCTACACACACACTCATACGCCGATATCAAACAGAGACGGGACGTGTCTCCAGGACGGAACTGGTTCAAATGAAGCAGGGGGGAAGCATGGAATAACTGCAGGCAGTAAAATGGTTAACTTAGATAGCAGGGCGCAGTAAACTGTACGGCAGGAAGCAGGCAGTTCGATTTAATGCGATACGGCAGCACGAGTGTTAAGTTAGTCAAGAGAGGAAAAAAGAACAGCAGAGAAGAACGTGAGTATCTTTCTCGAATTCATGAAACCATTTCCCTGAGAGGAGTCAATAACGACTAGAGCCTCGTTGATTATAACGCCACAACACGATAAAGAGATCAACATAGGAAATAAGTAATATAAAGAAGTAAAGGGAGAAGGTATAGATAAGAAGGTCTCAAATGGAATCAAGAATCGCGAAGATGAGAAAATGAAAGGTTTTGTCGAGGGAAAGAAATTGGTTGAAGAAAAGGAAAGAAGAAAGAAAGGGCCAAGGGCACATCTTGTGATGAAGTAGTCTCGAGCATTAAATGGAGCATGACTAACGCTAGGATGGTGGAGAAACGCATCACTCGATGGCCCTTTGGGAAGTTTGATGACCAGATTAATCAAGTAGTAGTAGTAGTGATAGAAAGGATATAAGAAGCAGAGTCACACGAGGCCACTGGAACGTAGCTTGAATACAAGTAGGGCAATCAAGCAAACCCCATCGGAAGCCGTTCGACACTTCTGGTTTGGCAGAGTGAAAGAAAGGATATGCAAAAGGAAACGAGGATACACCAACGCCTAGTCACTTGGGCACATATCCAAATCATGTCGACAGAACACAAGGATAGGAAAAGACGCGATGCGAAAACAAATATAGAAAAGGGAAAAGAAACATGGAAAAGCAAGAAGCAAAGAAGCACAAACACAACTCAAGTTTATGGAAATGTACAGAACAAGGGTATATGAGTTAAGGACTTAACAACCGTCGGACTTCATTTCACAAGCCATCACCGGCACCGGTCTCAACACCATCAGTTGGATACGATGTGTTGGGGTCAAATCCAAATCCAGCAGTGTCGGCATCAGTGTTGAGGAACGTATCGAAGTCGAAATTCTCCAGGATATCCGGGTTTTCTAAGGCGCTGAAGTCCAGGTTGAAGGCCGATGCCTGTTCAAAATGTAAGTATGGTATCCATCGGACATGAGGGGAAAGGCAAGGAACATACATCAGGGATGCTCAATTCATTGAAAGGCTGTTGCGTCTGGTCCGGCGGCTGTTGAACAAGTGGGGGAGGTGCAGGGGCAGACGTTGGCTGCTGCGGAGCACTAGTCGTAGCATTTGCACCGGTCTTGTTGAACGAGTTCGGATGCTGGGGCGTGATCGGGGTCGACGGCGTAGGGGTTGGTGGATGCTCTGCTTCGGAAGATGGCGTGGCAGCCGTGTTCGCCTGGGCGGCAGCGGCAGCGGCAGCAGCGCCCTTCTTCGGTCGCTAGGATTTGCGTTCAATATGAGATGACAAGGGGGATTAACCACCAAAGAGCTTCGATTACATACCTTCCGGCTATCCTTAGTCTCCTTCTTCTTCGGAGCTGGCTTGTTGCCTTGCTGCGGCGTCGGCGGAGCGGCGGTTTGGGGCGATGGAGGCTGGGTTCGACCGACGTTGGCACCAGGTGCTGGGGGAGCTTGGGGCGGCGGCATGGCATTTCTCTCCTGAGGCGTTCCCGTAGACTGAGGCTGGGTCGCGGGCGACTGCTGCGGCGCCATCGGCTGACCCTGAGCTCCTTGCTGCGGCTGCCAGCCTCCGTTGGGCATGCGATTGGCACCGGCCTGAATCGGTTGACCCATCTGAGGGGTGCTGAACGCAGGATTGGAGCTCGGAGGGCGCATGCCGTTGGGTGCCGCCATACCATCAGCCATGTTCTTGACGAAGAACTGGGGACCCGCCATCTCGGGAGGCATCTGGCCACCAGGGAAGTTCATGGATGCCGGAGATCCACGGCCCTGGGCCATCGCGTCGGCAGCGCTCGGTGATCCGGGGAGGCCGGTCTGGGGCATCTTCGGGGTGCCTCTCTTCATTTGGTCGTTGGGATTCGGCGATGTGCCAGCCCTGCTGCCTTGGGGCGAAGTGCCTGGTGGCAACTGCTGCCCGGGCATTTGGGGTTGGCCATCAGGCCGAGCCATGCTGTCCTGCTCCTGGCGAGCCATCATCAGACGCCGCTTATTCTGCTGTTCGAGCAGCATAAGTTGCATCTGATAATCTTGGAGAGCGTGGTTGCCGTGCTGACCGCCAGGTGTCTGCATCCCCGTCCGAACCTGGGCCATTTGACCATTCGCGCCATAGTAGTCACCGTTGATGGGATACACCTGGCCTTCCGGTATGGACACCATTTCCGTCTGGGGGTTTGCCATAACATTCGCGGGATTCATCATACCATTCGGCATGCCCTGGTTCGTCAATGCTGAGCGTGTGTGATGAACGGCCAAGTTGTGAGCATATACCTGCATCTGTTTCTGCTGCGCAGCCGGTCCCGACTGCTGGAAAGCCTGGAACTGATTGGGGTTCATCGCCCGATTGAGTCCGTTCTGCATCAATAGCGCTTGCGGGGTCGGCTGGCCTGGGATACCCTGGGCCTGGCCGCGTCCGTTGGGTGCCAGTTGCTGCCCGTTCATGGGGCCACCCTCGAGGCGAGGTCGTTTCGACGGAGACGGAGCATTTTCTGCCGATGCCGGGGACTGGGGTCGATGGCCGTTCATATCCATGTCCGAATGCTCTCGCTGCATCTGTTGCATCATCTGGACCTGCTGGTTTTTATGCATCTGGGCGAGTTGTTGTTGCGACCTGAGAAGAATCCAGTCAGCACGAAGATCTGAACGATCTTGCGAGGAGGTGGCGCAAGAGATAATAGGGAAGGGGGCGCGTACAGGCCAGTAGTATTGTTCTGCAACACAGTCTTTTGAAGATTAGGGGGGACCATGCCGTTCCGGCGTATATTCATTTGGCCCATCTGTCCATTCATCAGTGGCTGCTGTCGTAATAATTGATTCTGATGTTGTTCCCTGAGGCGCATCATGTTCTACAAAGCCTCAGTTAGACGTCCCGGACAGGCGGCAAAGAGTAAAGAGCACGTACCTGGGTGTGCGTAAGATAACTCCTCACGTCATTGCTGTTTCCCTTCTTGCGCTGAGCCCAGAAGAAATCCCAGAAAAGGCTAAACCAGTCAAGAAGGAATGACGACTGCTGTCCTTCACTAGGAAGATTAGGGCGGGGGAGGTCATCGGGAATCTTCAATTTATCTCCATCCTTCCCATCCGTCATCATTGTATCACCGTCGACACCGTTCACGTCGGCATCGCGACGATGACCCGGACTCGTCTTAATCGGCGGCTCAGTATTAAGTTTGATGGACTCATCCTTCACAAGCGCCCTAGCACAGTCGTGGTAGCCGCGCTTCAAGAAATAATCGTAGATATAAGTGTTGAGGTTGTTGATCATGTTTTCAGGGATGTTGTTGATGTTTTGTTCATTACGAGGGGCCGCAGAGCCATTGTTGATCATGGGCACACCTCCCACTGGGCCCCCTGCGCCGGGGTTCATTCCAGCCATATTCATCTGATTCATCTGATTCATGGTGGCACTCAAAAAGGGTTCAGCCACCCTCACCTAGTTATTGTCTTCGATGGGAAAGCGTCGGGAGGGGTCCGAGAACGTTCAACGCGCATCCACCGTCTTGCGGCGAGGGAGCTCACCACAAAGGAAGCGACGAGGCGCAGCGCGCGGCAATCTAGGTCCCGAGATGAGGGGATGTACAAGGCAGGGTCACAGACGCTTCCAGCCCAATGTTAAGGACGGCTTCGTTACCAGACCTGAATGCGCGATCGCCAGGAAGTAAGCCGAGTTCCGGGGCTAATCTAGGCGGAAGTTGAACCCGCGATATCGTTTCACGCTAACTGACGTAGAGGGGGTTGTCTCTGACGGAGAGTATAGGACAACGCAGAGCAAAGGTGTCGCGATGATCACCAACAAGGGAAGGCGAGCGTGGCCCACTCAGGAGCATACGGCAACTTGGGGGAGAAGAAAGAAAAAGAATCTTCGGTGACTTCCACAAGGTGAGGCGAGACGGAGCACAAGCGGGCCAAAGGACTTTCAATCGAGACACAGTCCAGTTGAAAGCAGGAGACAGGAGGGATAGGGAAAGGGGAAAAAATATTAAGAGGAGAAAAGATTGGTGTACTTGTTCACAGGAGCCAGTCGACCGAAAATGCGCGGTAAGATCAGCCGGGGGGGCAGGGCGGCGAACAAGCGACACAGGATGGCAAAGGACGGGAACGAGGTATAGGAGAGAACCCGACCAGACGCAACCCGACGGGGGGTACCAGCCAGAGTCAAGGATGTGAGAGGACTTCAGAAGAAGCAGAAGTATCCTCAAAAGCCCCTGCAGCAAAAGGAAAGGGGGGACAGACGGAGAGATCCGGCAGATTTGAAGTGAGTAGGTGGAGGGGGGGGAAGGGAGGAGAGAGAGAGGCAAAGGTTAGGACAAGGTGTAGCGGTGGATCTGAGGTGTTCTCTGGTGGGTGGGAGGACGTGGATATCAGGCGCGGTGCCTGGAGTTGCTCAATCACTGCCGGCCGGGCGTGAATCGCTTGTTCGGCGCGNATTATCCTGCCCGGAACGCCGTGGGAGGGCTGGGAGATGCGGCTGGCTCGCGTATATCTCAGCATGCAGTTCCAGCGGAAATCCCGATGGGAAAAAATAAAAATTTTGTAAGAGAAGAAAGTAGAGTGACAGGCAAGAGATAGAAAGCACAACAGATGATGATTTACATGGAGGACTAGTCTAACAAACAAGCATGAAGATTCAGAAGAATGAAGCAGGAACTTACCAGTATATTTGATCGTGATGAGAGAGAGATGAAATGAGGAAAAGAAAGGAGAAGATGCCGGTAAAAATCTCAAATAAATCAAAGAGGCTGGTTATAAGTTATATAAGATACCTCTCTCTCTCAATTCACTCTCAGTCTCTTGCTCCCTTTGGACTCCGAAGCATTAACACGCGCCGAATGATCCACCCGATCTGGTGGTGTATAAAGTGTATCTGATACAGCGGAATCGCCGCGACCCCTTCACAATGTAATTGACCGATTCATTGATTTGAGCCCACTAACACAGATGAATATTAAACAATAGATCTAAAATAGACAATTCTCATTCAATAACTTCTCAAATCATCGAGACTACTTGAACAGTTCCTAAGGAGTGAATAATAAACAGAACTGCCCTCTTTTTACTTTTCCCTCTCCATTTGACAGTTGAGGCTTCTTTTCCTGGATCGCAGACTCGCCACCGCGTATATCCTGGCACACCCTGGGAATGATGGGATGCTCTGCCCCCCGTTCCGGTCTAGCGCATCACGTGGTGCCTCTCCCGCCGGGAGAGGATTTCCTGCGCCGATCTGCCCATCCTGCCGTTCCCCGGACTCTATGTTGAAATGTTAGCAGTCTAGATACCTGTGTAGCACATCATACGAGTTTGATATCAATTGAGATCTCTACCCTTCCCCGCGCACAATTTCTCCCGCCTAGCTCTTTCTGGGTGGATACCGGGTTCCGCCGCTCTTTAATCAATCTATTGTGTAGCTATATCAGCGGGATCAGACAGGATCGCGTTGTATCAATCAGACGGAGTACAGGTCACGACCGTCAGTCTCCGATCACTGCCGAGTCGTGAATAGTGCGGGCCGTCCTCCGTGGGAGATGTGTTGGCCAGAATCTATCGATTCATATAATGGAGTTATTCCGCACCTGATTCATCGGGAAACTGACCCATGAACAGTATGCATATTTCACAGTCTTGGATCATCCTATTTTCACTTTTCAGGTCTGGGAATACCATTACCGTGAAGTTGGTATCCTCTGCGGTTATATTACAGGGACCTGAATCGCGTCGGTGGTCTTCTCCGGAATGGCAGAACCCCACCGCCTTGATGAGGTACCAGTGCGCCTGTCATAATTATGGCACCCGTGTAGATCCCATGCTCCGGGTTCGGAGAACGTCCTTTTGTAAAGAGGAGATCTACTATATTGACAGGTCATGTTTTAAGCCTTAATATCCGTTGCAAATTCTTTCCCTGTTAATTTAGCTTTTCATGCAACTGTTAATCTCGTCCGTCTGTGACAATGGTATTGTGTCTGGCATTGTTGACCTGCAGGAGACCTTCTATGTAAACGCGGTTTAGTGCGAGAACTATAGGACAATGGAAAAAAAGAAAAAACAAGATGCAAGACTCAGTATCAATCATGACTCATAATCGAGATAATATTCATCGGTAACTGCAGCTCCAAATCGGCGGTTAAAACCCTCAAAACACCAGACGCCTCTACTTGTATAAACAATCCCAGAACCATACGGCTGGCACCATTACTCCTCATCGGGTGGCATCTCATCCTCAATGTACCGTACAAGTGACACCCGCATTTCCGTTGTGTCATCGCCCCGCAAAACGTCGCTCACAAAATGCGCCTCGATCTGCATTTGCACCTGTTCCCAGAATTAGCACAAATACATGCATGGAAGTGGCTAGCAGAGAACAGATCAACTCCCTGCAGTACGCCGTCTTACCATCTCCAATGCACCCCGCAGAACTCCACAGAGGATATTGGAAAACCACAGCTCATCTTGAGCCCGTCCGTCATCGGGCAACTCAACAAAATCTGCCAACGGGTTTTCTTCAAATATGAGAGAGAATTGGTTGTTGTCACTCGTCCAATTGGTGACGGTGGGTGCGATGTTGAGGAAGATCCTGAACCCAACCTGCAGTGGGCATTAAACTCGTCAGCCCACAGAAGCCCATATACTTTCGACCAATTACTCCACCTGTTGGCCTCAACATACCTTTGCGATCATATCCGCCGTTTCCCGGAAATTAGCACATCGGCCGACGCCCGACTTGGCCAAAAAGTCCTCGATAAGTCGCATTCCAATATTGTAACCCATCTTCTCCAGTTGCTTGTTCACTTCTTGGTAATTTCCATCGTAGTCCTGGCAAAGTTGCGCGACAATTGTACCGTAAGTTAATGTTACCAACTCGGCGTTCACTTTGTCAACTCTCGTCCTAGTAATGTCGGGTGTATGTCAGTTGCCTGTCCATCCCAAGCCGGCTTCGCTCGTCTCCTGAGGGGTGTTCGAGCGCCAACTATACGCATGCAGCTTACTGACTTCCACAGCCTGTCAAGGTCAGGAGGTTAGTAAGGGGTTACTGGTCAAGTGAAGCGAATGAACAACTTACTCTTCCCCAATCCTAGATGCTTTTGTTGCAGATGACATGATTGTAAAACACGCTCGTTAAACTCAAGTGTCAAGGTAATTAAATATGAACGACACAAAACTTCAAGAAACTCAAGTTTGCAAGCGGCTGGTAAACAATGACAAGAGCAATGCGCACTCTTCCCCGCTTGATTCGGTGGACCGAGGGGGCCTGAGGCGGAGCTTCACGCGCCTGGTGGACCAGCGCTCGGCGTCTAGCGCGGCTGGTTGGCGCTTACGCAGAAACCATGCTTAGAGCCTCGGACGCAAGACTTAGTCCGGGTCGGCGCGTCCAGTCCAGATTTCCCCAGCTACTAGGCTTGATTGCATTCTACGCTCAGCCCCCATCCCTACTTAGACTCGCATACCCATTGCTCGAGCCCGCCCGCTGGATTAATTTTCAATAATGTCGGGGGAAAAGCGACCTGCGCAAGAAGCCTTTGGCTCATCGAACCAGCTTGTCGTCAAGCGAAAGAAGTCCGACGCCGGTCTCAATGATAGCACAGCCATCGTCCAAAGCTCGTCCCAAAATGGAGCTTTGATCCAATCAGTATGCCTTATCCCGTATTATTCGAAAAGTGAGATTTTTGGTCAGGTTCCATTGTTGACCATGACTATAGGTTCCCCGCACCAGCGGGCTTCAAGCACCGATTATGGAAATGAATGGTGAGCTGCACCACTGCGGTGACTTGCAACTTAGGCTGACATATAATGGATAATACTAGGTCATTCTGGTGAAGTTTTTGCGGTGCGGTTTGATCCCACTGCTCAGCACATTGCTTCAGGCTCCATGGATCGATCTATCTGTACGTGTTTCCTTTTATATAATAGTGTCTAGAGGGTGCAGGCTAATCACACCGTCTACAACAGTGCTTTGGAACACATATGGACAGTGCGAGAACTATGGTGCGCTATCAGGTCACCGAGGAGCAGTTCTTGACCTTCAATGGTCGCGCGACTCCAGAACGTTATTTTCCGCATCGGCCGACATGACACTCGCTAGCTGGGATCTCGAAACCGGACAAAGAATACGCCGGCACATTGGGCACGAGGAGATTATCAATTGTCTAGACATAAGCAAAAGAGGCCAGGAATTGCTGGTTAGCGCAAGTGACGACGGCTGCATAGGCATCTGGGATCCCCGGCAAAAGGATGCTATCGAATATTTGGAAACCGAGTTGCCCATCACGGCAGTGGCGCTTTCGGAGGCAGGTAACGAGATCTACAGTGGTGGTATCGATAACACTATCCATGCTTGGGATCTACGGAAGAAGAGCATCGTCTACTCCATGGCTGGACACACGGAAACCATCACCTCTCTCGAAATTTCGCCGGACTCGCAAACTCTTCTTTCCAACTCACACGACTCGACCGTACGCACGTGGGATATCCGGCCGTTCGCGCCGGCAAATCGACACGTCAGGACGTTTGACGGTGCGCCGGTCGGTTTGGAGAAGAACCTCATCCGGGCCAGTTGGGACCCGAGTGGGGAGAAGATTGCGGCGGGTAGTGGTGACAGGAGTGTTGTGGTCTGGAACTCGAAGTCCGGCAAAATCCTATACAAGCTCCCTGGACATAAGGGGACCGTCAATGACGTCCGGTTTTCACCGAACAATGAGCCCATCAGTAAGTTACACCGGGTTTTGGAATATTCGTTGGAAATACTAATATCCGTCTACAGTCGTCTCGGGATCGTCCGATAGAACGCTCATGCTCGGTGAACTTGGCAAGTGAGGGGAAGCGCATGTGCAACACACTCAGCCAACACAACCGCGAGTTGATTCGTCTTCCTACGGACAGCATTTATCTATGACAACAGGTTCCGAGCCCGGGCTTCCGTCAAGCTTAGTTGGACTTGTGGCGAATGGCGATGGCACGAGAATCTTCAGCTCCAATCTTGCTTGCCGGTTGGAATGTGTCAACCAAGGCTGGTAAATAGCCATTATGGGCAGACCGGGAAGAACGGGCCGGCCGGATGACGGGAGAAGGGTTACTACCATTATTTGAATACCTCCCGTGAGCGCAGTATATCCTCATCTTTTATGCCTCGCAAGTGTAATAATATACGTCAGTATGATAATGGCTCGCACTTCATTTGTGTAACCTTGGAAGATCATAGCGAAAAGCGATCGGGGCTACTGGCCAACTACATCTCAGTAAGCTGGGGTAGGCGCTCCCGTTAGAAAATTACCAGCGCATCGTGGGTTAATTGGCGTTCGATTGGCCCCCTTTGGAAGAGGGTCCCTAAGAGGGGATCTGGCTGCGAGGCCGAAACAGTTGGCTTCCTTCAGGCGCGAGGAGCCACAACCATCCTTAATATTAGTTTTAGTGTTAACATAATCTTTACCCGCATCCCAGCATCGGCCCGCCAGGACAGTAAGGTAGAGAGAGTATAGACTGAATGATGATGCCAAGGGAAAATGTGCCTAAGAGCACAGATGTAATTGCAGATGCACAGGTCTGTTAAACCAGACTAGTTCCATTCTTAGATGAAGACAGCTATAGCGTAAGATCAAAAGCTATGCAGCTGCGGGTTGTTATCGGACAGCTCGGACTTGGTTGGGGGGGGGCGCCGCCGCGGAGGGGAGCTGTGGCTATACTTAGTATTGAATGGCGTCCGTCTAGTTATATCTATCAGGGCAACGTGGGTCATCCAGGGGTAAAATGGTCAGCCCCTAAAGCAGAGGAACGAGGAGAGACGCCAAATCAGCATTCGACAGTCCATCAACCAGCTACTAATAATAAATTCCATCGGATCAGGCCGGTTGTGCAAACTGGATTCCAGTTCCGTCAGTATACGTAACTAGAGGTGGGTAGGATAGTAAATTATGGCTAATAATAATAATATCAAAAGGCAGTATGAAGTTACTTAGATAGTACTACTAATTGTCTGGAAAGGCCTGCGTGAGAGAGAGAGACTGTCTGTAACCAACTAAGCTCCTTAGCAGCACCACTTCTCTCTCTTAGTCGCCCGTAATAATTACCCATTGGGGAACGGGAAGTGTCACTCACTCTCTCTCTCTCGTTACTCTCTGACTGCTTCTCGGCTCTTCTTTCTCTCTGTTTCTCTCTCTCTCTCGCTTTCCATCTCATTGTTTATTCTGGATTATTATGATCTTTCGTTCTTGCTCGCATACACATCTGAGGCTCTGCTACTAGTATATTGTTTTTTTCTTTTTTCTTTTTACTTCCACTTTACTTCATCTTTACCTCCTCATCCTTATCGGCATCTGCCCATTACTTGCTTTTTTTCCCCTGTGATATCTTATCCCCTCTCCGTCCGGACTATCATTCGGATATAATAGTGAACTGCTTGTCGCACTCTCTCCGTGCTGAACCGAATCACCCTCCCCTAACCGGCTGGCCTGGTGCTCGCCCTGTTCCTTCGCTTTTTCTACGCGTTCGTTTCAAAGCCCAATTTTCTTCTATCTACTCTATCCCGAGACGGATTTACCAATCCTCTTGCTATCTAATTGCCTTTGGGTCGCCATCGCCCGTGTCCTGTGACTCCGCGATCGGGATTCCTGCGTCTGATGCTGCTCTCCCCTGGGCCCCCCTCCTACACCCCAGGCTCGATCTTCATTATGAATGTATAGCGTCCGAAATCATAACGAATTTCCCAGTTCGGCCACAGATATCCGCCTTCGCCAGCAATTATCCGCTTTGCGTCGTAAAGGTCCTCATTCCAGGCGGTTTGCATCCGGTTCTGCGTTCCCGCGACGCTTATTTGTGTGTTGTTCAACGAATGCGGAAGTGGGCAGTACATATCGACGCAAAACATATCATATTCGCGATTGGAGTTACCGCTGTCGACGCCTATAATATTAATCAGTGATCTCTGCGAAACACTTGAAAGTCGCGCCCTACGTCTGTCCAGATGTCATTGTACGATTGCTAGTTTGAATTGACATGGAATCGGTTCAGCTGTCTCATTCGGGATCGACAACACATTCCAGCTCGATCCCCGGCATGTTCTCGCCCGATCGCTCTTCGCATGTCAATACCAGTGGGTCAATCGCAGATGACCAGCCTCGACGAGCTCCCAATCGGGAGGAGCGATTCACATCATGGGTAGCCGACCATCGTCTCGACCTGGAACAGCGAATCCTTGGTGACCGCGCTGAGCGTCGCGAATCGCGTCTACCTGGTCGACCAGCGCCATCGCATAGTTCTCTTAGAGACGCTGCTGCATCTCAATATGCGCCAAGAGGGCCGTATGTCCCAATTGAGTTGCAGTCCGCAGCAGCAGGAAGCTCCGGCGAAGCGCGGTCGCATGCGCGCTCAGAACGAGAATCGCATTCAGCACACTCCCCGCCTGACCCTGAAGACCTCCGATGCAGGCAATCGCAATCGTTCGTATCACGGCTGAAGGAGAAGAGGCTACGGAGGCGACTGATTACGCTGGTTATATCTGCATGTTTTCTCATCCTCGTTATCGCCATTTACCTCGCATTCGCTGCTTCCCGTACGACATTGGGCCGAGAGCTCCAAATACTTCTCATCTTCATGATCTTAATTCTTGGCATTGTTTTCTGTCATTCTCTCACGCGCTTCTTGATGGCACTATTACGACGGCCTGACTCTGATGTCGCTACGAATCGCATACCCAGTAGGGCAGGGCCAGCCGGCTATGCGCAACCAGCGCGTCCCATCCACGTTATTCTAGCTGGAGATGAGGACGTTGGAGCCGCGAGTCCGAATGCCGTGCGCGAAAAGGTCACGGCGCCTCCTCCGGCATACGGTCTTTGGCGAGAAAGTGTGGTAAGTACATGATTACAGGAATGGCGTTATTTCCTTGATGGTGACCAGTCCCGCTAACTTTGTGCAGAGGATTAACCCCGACTTGTTGTACTGGCAGCGCATCGAAAATAACAATGCGCACGTACCCAAGGGTGTTGGCAGGCATGGGAGCAATAAATCGCGGATCCCACGGCCGCCTAGCTACACCTCTGACAACGGCGTCGACTATGTGATAGAAGCGCAACCCCGATCATTCACCCAATGGCGGATTCCTGAAGAATCAGGGCATCAGCCATGACCCATACATATCTCTCTCTCTTTTCTCGACATACTGAAGCTGGATTCACCGACACAATGACATCCACAATCGTCTCGTTATCCGCAAAATCATTTATATAGCGGTACTGTGATCACCTTCATCTGTATTTCTTTTGCTCGAGATATCCCCTGTGACTTGGCTTCTTTCCCTTTTTTTTCACCCTTTTGCGGCATTCTCATCACCAATCATGTGATGTTTCTTTGTTTTCTTTTGTACCTGAAAATTCTTGGATGAAGCGGGAGTTACATTGGCATACACACTGATCTTCCTGGCGAGCATTTGTTTGAGCGCTATTTCATTAAGCTTGGTTTTCTAACTTACTGCAAAGTACATCTTAACCCTTCTAAATGTTAAAGTATCTGGGAAACGAGGCCTACCGTAAGCAAGCCGATTCGTCAAAAATCCTGTATTAATAATATAAACATCCCCTAAAATTGAATTAAGGGATCCTGTAGTCCGAAGGGAAGGGGGAGTGGAGGGAGAATGTAAACGGCATATCTGGCCGCAAATTGGTTCGCCGCGGATTGAATACGACCTCACGTGCGGCGCCGCTGCCACCACCAACTTCCCCTCAAGCCTCCCCCCTCAGGAACCCTTCTCTGGAGGCAGTTCAGTTCGCCGGTCTGCGGGGTTTTCACATTGAACAGTTCATCAACGCGCTCCCATGCCATTGATAACTGTTTCGCTACTGCGGTAATGCGCTCGGGATGTTGGCACTCGCAGATGTCCGCCCTCCGTTCAGCATGGATCATGACCTGGGTCTTGCTGCTGTCGCTGTGGCTCGCCATGGCCCAGGGCATGCGGACCGGTCAGGTTAACGAACTCAGGTAAATCTCACCAGTCATTACCTGATTCCCGGTTTCGCTGGTATAGGGGCCGATCGACTGACACCCTCGATATTTAGGAAGGAGACAGAGCATATGTTCTACCACGGATTCGAAAACTATCTCGAACACGCCTTTCCTGAAGACGAACTCCGTCCTTTAACATGCCGTCCGCTGGTTCGCGACCGAGAGAATCCCGCGCATGCAGAGCTCAACGATGTCCTGGGTAATTATTCATTGACTCTGATCGACAGTCTGTCCTCCCTGGCAATACTTTCGTCGAGTCCCGACCAGGGCCAGAAGGCTTGGGATTACTTCCAGAATGGAGTGAAGGATTTTGTTACACTGTACGGCGATGGATCCGATGGCCCCGCGGGCCAGGGTCAGAGGGGACGAGGATTCGATATGGATAGTAAAGTGCAAGTGTTCGAGACGGTGATTCGAGGGTTAGGTAGGCATCGGATCTTGTGCATGGGGAGTATGCATCTCGATTAATGGTTTTCTCTAGGTGGCCTACTCAGCGCTCATCTTTTTGCTGTGGGCGATCTTCCTATCACCGGATACAATCCGCCGGAGACCGAAGCCAACTTCGCCAGAGCCTGGGATAAGCACTCCTTCCCTGAAGGCAGTCGCGGCATCGAGTGGAAGGACGGATTCGTCTACGATGGCCAACTTCTACGGCTTGCTGTCGATCTTGCAAATCGAATTTTACCCGCGTTCTATACGGACACTGGACTCCCTTACCCTCGAGTGAACTTGAAGTACGGGGTGCAACGGCAGCCGTACTACGCAAACTCACCGTTTAATGCAGCCCCTACGTGTGATAAAGCCAATCCTGAACAGTGCCAAAAGCCTCGCCGCTCCTCGACCTTTGAGACTACGGAAACCTGCAGCGCTGGCGCTGGCAGTCTAGTCCTCGAGTTTACAGTTTTGAGCAGACTTACAGGCGATGGACGATATGAGGAGCTTGCCAAGCGAGCATTCTGGGCCGTTTGGGCAAGGAGGAGTGATATTGGACTGATTGGGTCCGGTATTGATGCCGAGTCAGGTAGATGGGTTCATTCCTATACCGGGGTGAGTCAAATCAAGCACGTGCATTTGAATATGGCTAACACTACCACGTCCCAGATCGGCGCAGGAATTGATAGCTTTTTCGAGTATGCTTTCAAGTCCTACGTACTACTCTCGTCAGGGGAACGGCCCCCGGCCAATACTAGCAGCCCGTGGCATGCCCTGGACGACTATTTCCTACCACTTTCAGAATACGAGCACTCCGCCGATGCCTTTCTGAAGGTCTGGGAGAAGTCTCATGCCTCAATAAAACGTCACCTATACCGCGGAGAGGGCCATCAGCACCCGCATCTGATCCAGGGAGACATCTTCACCGGAGCGACTCGTGCTTTTTGGATCGACAGTCTTAGCGCCTTCTACCCCGGACTTCTTACTTTAGCGGGAGAAGTGGATGAAGCCATTGGCATCCATCTTCTGACGACGGCAGTCTGGACTCGATTTTCCGGTCTTCCTGAGCGATGGAATGTTGCCACCGGGGACATTGAACAGGGCCTTTCCTGGTATGGTGGCCGCCCTGAGTTCGTGGAATCTACTTACTACCTCTACCGAGCGACAAAGGACCCCTGGTATCTGCATGTCGGAGAGATGGTACTGCGGGATTTGAAACGGCGATGCTGGACCAAGTGCGGTTGGGCTGGTATTCAGGACGTTCGGAATGGCGAGCTCAATGACCGCATGGAGAGCTTCTTCCTGGGTGAAACTGCCAAGTACATGTTTCTGCTGTACGATTTTGATCATCCCCTCAATAAGCTAGACCAGCCGTTCGTCTTCTCCACCGAGGGCCACCCTCTAATTATCCCCAAGAACAGCACGGCACAGCGCGCTGAGCGCAAGCAGGTACCAGTCGTTGTGGAGAGCGAGGGTTTGACATGCCCAACAGCACCTCAGCCTCCAACGCTGGGGGTTTCATCCACTGCGGCACGGTCCGATCTGTTCCACGCCGCGAACCTGGCACGCCTACACCTCATGCCGAGTAGAGGTCTAGCGGAAGGCCCTCTTCTGGATTACGCTCGGGACCACCCGAGCGTATCAGTGTCGGACTTGTCGTCGCCCACCAACTACACATTCTTCCCATGGACATTGCCTCCAGAGCTTGTGCCATTTAACGCAACCAGCGCGCCGATGACAATCCGTCCTACGCTCGACATTTCTTTCCCCGCGCTTCCCGGTATGGTCGTGGGGCCTGGATCACTGGAACGAGTGCGGGATGGCATCTTTATCAAAGCCATCGGGGGCCTACGACTAAGTATGGTTCAGGATGTCCCTGTGCAAGGGGAATCCGGGAGCGCAGAGAGTGATGAATTCCGGGTCCAGGTTATCAACAACGTGCCACTGGGCAAAGACGAGAAGGTATATCTTCTACGGGAAATCACATTTGATGTCCTCGACCCCACCGACCCGAATTTCACGCGGGTTCGCGACACCGCCATGATTGACATCGTCATTGACGTTATCCCAGAGATTATCCGTCGACGAAATGATTCAGATGATAGTCATGAACCAGCTGCGCCTCGACGTGCCAACGGAGCCATCGTCCATGGCTCCAGCTCCGTCGACAGTAAAGTCGGCAGCGTAGATGCGTCGACCTCCAGCATGAAGACTGTGCTCTCCTCGCTAGTCAACACTCTATCTACACTCCTTCGGGATGAAGTACAGGGCCAGACCAGCCTGCCGCAGAAGAAAGCCACCTCGTTACGTCTCCTGCTCCCGGCCGCCATCTCCACGGGGCTCGGCTCGGCCCCGCTCCCCGACGTGGAAGACGCCACGACAGTCTCCATCACGGGCGACCCTTCCAAGCAACGCCTCACATGGAACAGCATCTACTTCGCGGACGAGCTCTGTGACAACCGCATCCTACGAGAAGTTGCACAGAACCACCAGGTCCTCGTAATCAAGCGAGGCGGATGCAACTTTTCGCAGAAGCTGCGCAACATTGCCGCGTATCCGCCTTCTCGGTACGCCCTGAAACTAGTCATCGTGGTCTCCTACGACGATGAAGTAGTCGAGGAGGAGCAGCGCGAGGAATCAGACACCACCACGACCCCGGGGCTAGCTGCGGTCCGCGCGGAACCTTATCTGGTGCGGCCCCATCTGGACGAGACGCAAATGACAGCCGCGGGCGTCCCGCGGCGCCAGCTGCTCAGCGTAGTCATGGTAGGCGGAGGGCAAGAAACATACGAGCTACTGCGACAAGCCACGGGGGTGGGCATTAAACGGCGATATTCGGTGCGATCGCAGGGAGTTCCCATCAACAATCTGTATATTTTGTGAGAAGGATATGAGTGACCCTTAGCACATGCCCCATTGCAACGAGTTTACCTATATGATATAGCATCATAGCATAGCTTTTTCATCCTAGTCATAACATATTAGTAGCATTCCCAGTACACGTCACTCCTCCCGCCTCCCTCCACCTTGGGAATACTGACATACCAAACACTATGCCCATGACATACGTACATACATACATACATACATACCATGAATGACATGATGACATACCAAAAACACCCTGATCTTCATTTTCAACCCTCGCCACCTCCGGACGGGAAACCCCGATCGATCGGCAATCGTTCGGTGGCCCTCCCCCTGCCACAACCGAGATCCGGCGTCACGTCAAATGTCGCCATTAAGATTAATGGTTAAGCAAAGTATTGGCTGTGGCTGCCACGGGGAACCAGCTGACTCAGCTGCTCAGCCTTCAGATGTTCCGAATGTTTGAAAGGCTTGAAGGCTTGAAGAAGTGGCGGTGGGGCAGGTTTACTTGCCGATTGGTTCAATCCCCCGTGGAGCAACGGATAAGAAAACCCCTGCCGATAGAACGAAAAGCAAAATGTAAGGCGGGATGGCAAATGAAAGCGAGGAGGTTTAAGGTTTACGTGGTTTGGAATGTGTCCCTGATTTGGGGGGGGGTGTGTGGCAGTGGGCTGTGGGAAGGGTTATAAATACCTGCTTCCTTTTCTCTTTTCTTTTTAAGGGTAGAGAGAGAGGGATCTCTAGATCTGAATCAATAACGAGGATTTACTTGTCTATTTGATTATACATATACATATTTGGACTGGTTCTGGTACTATATATCCGGACACTCATTGAGTCCTAGTATTTACTCATTCACTTCTTTCCTCGAGCATATATCTATTATAACAGTCCTATCCCTCTCAACTACTACTATTACTACACAACCCACTACGAACCAAAATCAAAATGCATCTCCACACAGACCTCGACGTCGACACCACCCCCTCCACCCTCATCAACATCACCACGGCCACCTCCGCAGCCAAACCCACCACAACCGCCACAACCACCCTCACCGAACTCACCTCCACAACCCCGTCCCCACCACCCACAACTAAACCCCTCTACTTCGCCTACGGCTCCAACCTCTCCCCCACGCAAATGGCTACCCGCTGCACCGCCCTCCCCTCCTCCATCCCGCTCGCCATCGCCCGCCTCCCCAAATGGCGCTGGCTGATCCACGAGCGCGGATACGCCAACGTGGTCCCACCCTCCGAGATGTGCATCACGAAGCAACAAGCAGACTGCATCTCGAGCGGCGAGGTTGGTGTTGCGGGTGGCGCTGACGAGGATGCCGTCTACGGTGTGTTGTATGATATGGGGGATGATGATGAGAAGATTCTGGATGGGTTTGAGGGGGTCGATTATTCTGCTCCTGACGCGGAGGTTATCAATATGGAGGATGGGAGGATGATGGTGAGGGAGAAGGAGCAGGGACATGGGTGTTATAACAAGTGGGTTGTGGAGGCGGAGGTGGTTAAGTGGCTTGGTGAGAAGGATGGGGATAAGGCGGAGACGGTGCCGGTGTTGGTGTATGTTGATGAGAAGAGGGTGAGGAATGGTCCGCCCAAGGCGGAGTATGTGCCCAGGATGAATCGAGCGATTCGTGAGTCGGTGGCTCTGGGGTTGCCTGCTAAGTGGGCGGAGGAGGTCATGAGGCCGGCTATTCCTTTGAACTAACTAGCTGGACTGGTATAGATTAGACATAGATGTCTTGCTAGACCTCTCATAATATAAGCTTAGCGTATTATTACATTTCATTGTGTCATTGCTATTTCATAGTCTATGCAAAAACGTTTAAAAAATGCATGCCACGCCTGACTGACATCGACTCGTGTAGAATAAAGTAAAGATCAAGTGTTTCAACTTTTATAGCCCTGGGGAAGAGAACACGTCACGTTCGTTTCGGTGCCGTTCCCGGCGAGTGGGGATTCAATTGCTTTGTCTATCATGTCCCATGCCGACCATCTAGTCGGCGCGATCGATTCCGTAGCGATCTCTGGCGAACCCCGGTAGGGTTGCTGCCGCATAGTCTGCGGCATGACCGACCACTTCCCAGGTGAGTGGTAGCGAGTGAGCGCATATGTGTTTTTTTTATGTTTTTGTGCGTGCAGACCTCCAAACAGATAAGGATATTGTTCGAATGCATGTCATAGGGTCATTAAGCCTTGGTCTCCTGGCCAGTAAGGAGAGTGTAGACGGGGGCAGGCAGCTTGTCCCGTCCGTGAAGGAACTCGAGCTCGAGGAGGAAAACGAAGCCCATCAGCTCACCACCCTTGCGGTTGATGAGTTCACCGGCCGCATACGCCGAACCACCTAGTTCAGTCGATCAGCAACCATACTCGCACAAAAGGAAAGGATGAAAACCAAGAGAGAGGGGATAATAGTAAACATACCAGTAGCAATGATGTCGTCCACGACAATCACCTTCTGACCGGGCTTGATCGCATCGGACTGCATCTGGAAGAAGTCCGTGCCGTACTCCTTCTCATAGCCCTGGGTGTCGCAAGGACCAGGGAGCTTGCCCTGCTTGCGAACAGGGACAAAGCCAGCACCCATGCGCAGGGCCAAGCTAGGTCCCATCAGGAAGCCACGGGCCTCCAGGCCAACGATGACATCGGGCTTCTGGCCGCCGTTGCTCTCGAGGATGTGGAGCTCCAGGCAGCGGAGCAGGGATTCGTGCAGAACGGGATCAGCGAAGATCGGGAGGATATCTTCGAACAAAATGCCCGGGGACGGGAAGTCGGGGAACTGGCGCAGGGCCTCGCGCAGCTTTACTTTAAGACTGGCGAGTTCGGCGGTGCGGGCGGAAGAGGAGGAGGGCTGTCCGGCGACTTGGGCGGCGGTGGTGGCATGAGGAGGTTGCACGGGGGGAGTAGAAGTTGGTTGAGACATGGTGAAAGAGAAGGAGAGGAAAGAAGTGGAAGAAATAAGAGAGACTAAAAAAAAGGGGGGGGAGGAGCAGAAGGAGGAGGGGAGCAAAAGCAGACCAGGAGGTGAGGGGTGAGGAAGATCGAAAAAGGTAAAAATAGTGAAATCGGCGTGATAAGCAAAAAAAGAAAAAGAAACGAAAAAGACGAAGGAGGGGGAAATATGAGGGAAAAATGTTCCAAACAGGAAAGAAGAAAATTATGGTGAAGATCTGGTGGTATTTACATTACAGTTATCTATCTCTGTGGTATTGTCATATTTCTGTAAGCTCCCCTTCCCCATCACTGCACACCATTGCTGGAACTTGTCAACTTCGGGGGGAGGAATCCCCAGCATACTTGGTAATTATCATAAAGCTTATACATAGACCAGAATAGATTCAAGATCTTATTACAATCTCTAAGAGACTTACTGTAGCACATATTATTAACATGACATTGTGAAGCAGTATGACTGGACAGACGACACATGCAGCTCGGGTAATGTATGGAAACGAACATGCAGGTGATATGTATGGTAAACCGTGGAACAGGTTACCCCTCCTCCATCAATAGAAGTCGAGAACCTTTTTGTGCCAGCATCCAGACTTTCAACTGGTTTACAATCAGCCCATCTGGAAGGGTGTCAGAACGTGAGTCAGTGAGGTGATCCGTTGGCACTATCATCCATTCATGTTCAATGCATCATCCGCCTCTTGTTTCAGAGCGCAGTCCAATCTCTTCCGTGGATGGAGGGACACCCCCTCCTCCGGGCTGAACTATATCGCGTATAACCGTCTTAAGCCAGTCCAAAGTCGTACTACGCCAATGGCGCCATGATGCAAGTCACTGATTCCAGGTTATGCACCCCTCGCGCTGTTCATTACTCTCACTGGCTCACCCTGTCTCTATCGGGTCTTTGCCAGAGTTGTCTCGCGTGGGGAGATCAGCCAGTGGATAGGTCGAGTCAAGTGCGCTGGGACCTCGACCTGATACTATCTACTGGTACTGACCAGCGAGGTATACTTACTCCTACTAATTAACTACTTGGTTACCTTACCATTCTTTCTGCTGCAGCGACTTACGGTGTAGATGTCTGATTTCTGCCAGTTGTACCTCTTCCCCTGCCCAGGTGGGTAGTAGTAAGGCACCTACGAGATACTTGAAACAATCCACTAGACAGGCCCTGACTGCTCTGTGCCGACCACTGTCTATCGGTGGAGTTAATCACCGCCGGGGATCGTCATGCTGTGCTGGACTGACTCCATCCTTAAGCCGAGCGGATAACCTTTCTGCTTTTCCCCCCCGGAACGGGCAACATTACATTAATCACCACCGCCTGATCGTCCCCGCGGTTCGCAATCCCATTCTATAAATAATGCGCTTCATTACGTCCTCACCCGTGGTGTGACAGTGGCAGCCAGATTTTCTCTGGTCTAAGAGGCCGTCAGCATTCACAGCCACAACCACCATCGATCGAATCGCCGGCTTCTAGACCCCGTCCAGGCCACACGTGAAAATACTGGACCATCCAAATGGAGCTCGGGAACGATCAAGAACCGGTTGGCCACACCGCTGTGGTCGCTCGCGCTAGACGATAAGCCTGGCGATTTGCTGGCTCGACGGACGCGCTAGAGGATTCATCCAGGATAGTCTCCAACTATCGAACTTGGGATGGGCTGGCCCGCCATCCCCTTCCCCCCTCAAGGCTCGTAAATTCCCGGATCACCGGTTAATTAGGAGCACCGGCGGTGACTACTGGACCTGCAGCATCCCCATCTCGCCAATGGTCTTGCAGTTTCCGGTGGTTGTTTGGGGATAGGCTACCTTCATACTTATCTAGTCTAGTCTTCTCATCGGTCTCCCTTAGAGCATGTTTCAGTCGGGCCCGCTACCTATCAACTCCTCCTCTGCATCACCTTGGGTGACAGCTATGCCATTAAGCTGATCGGCGCAATTTCCTTCTTCGTTTCCCTTGATTGTTCTAATCTTTACTTATCTTTCCCTATACACTCGCGTTCGTGACACGCTGCCTACACGAGTTCTCTCTTTGGGGTACATGGCTTAATCAATGTGTGCTGTGGCCCGTCGCCTCGAATTGTTTTGGCTTATTCCAATGGCCCCGGCCTTGTCTGAGTGACGAATCTCTGGTGGCTGACAATCATCCTGTTACGGAATCGCTCTTTATTGTCGCATTAGATTTTCCATGCCAGCGGGGTCTGCTTTCGCAAGCTGATGTCCCATTCGACCTTGTCCTAGGGTCTGTGTTTTGGTAGGAATAATGGCGAGATATCCTAAGGAAGCCCCAAGTTCGAGGAGCCCGTTGCTTACAGGCTGGATGAGTGATGCGGCGTTTCTGATGCATCACCCCGGTGGTATACTAGCTCCGTTAGCTCACTGTGCCCTATGGCTCAGGGTTTGGGGGTTACCTAAACCAAAATCTGTTGAGGTTCCGGTTTCCGGAGTACAGCGGTTATAACGGCATGGTAGCACGCATTTGAAGGCTTCGCCCACCAGATCTGAATCGGTTTCGTGCTGATGAGCTGCCTCTGATCTCATAAGGGACAAATTCCGTGACTGCCGTACTGATTGGTGTCTCTTGGTAGGCGACAAGGTTGCTGTCACTGACCCGTTCCATTGGGGCTAGGATTATGAAGTAGATGCAACTGACGGCCGGTCCTGTCCCTGATATTTCGTCGCGTTAACTTGGAAAGCGTGGGCAGAGGCTTCGCCATACCTACTTCAATCCCGGAGTATGCAAGCTAGTGTATCCACCATATGCAACTAAAGTAACTCGGCGATTGGTCTCAACCGATAAACAAATTATGAGGTCAAATTGAAGCTAATTATGCGCTCACACGGCACTCCAACCCGTCTCGACGACCGATACAACCCAACGCGCACGTTCCTTGCCAATCCAGGTACCATCAATTGGAATCAACCAGGGTTATCCGAATCGCATATCCGAGGAAGTCCGGAACTTCTGATGCACATGTGCGTGTGCAATCACAGCGTCGACATTGGTCCTCGAGGACATCCTGTCCTATGGTCTCTTTTCCAATCTCGCGTCGCAAACGCAATGTTCCCCTGCATGTATCTTCTAGAACTTCTGGAAGGCTTCTGTGGTACGGCAATATTACGATAGTCGTACTGCCGAATGTGTGCTTGGAACCCGGATGGTACACCTACAATTACGCCCTCCTTCCCGGGAGCTACGTGAGAAGCAGTCAGTTACGTAGGTGGACGGCGGGTAGGCACTCTGCAGCCAAGGTGCGGTAGCATTATGCATGCTACTAATGCATGGCGCAGACACACCATGTACGCACGGATAGCTGGCCGTCTTGTGGTCGGGGTTTCCTGATCAGTCCGGGCCGCAACAGGCGGTCCAGATTTGCACGCTACGGCTAGACTAGATCATCGCGTTTCGCGCATCCTCGTGTGCGCTGCGCCAGAGCGGTACGGAGTACATGCTGCATACAGGATACCTTGACGAGCTGTAGGGACGGGGGTTGTGCGGAATTCCTGATGAGGACATCCCACCGCATCCCCGATGTGTGCACTGGGCGCTTCAGGCCGAGGGGTCCAAAGTAGTACTGGGAATAAGGATATAAATGTAGTGGAAGAGATGGCTAGGGGTCATATATAGGTTTACCTATCGAGGCAGTGGTGGGTGTGTAGTAGAATCTGCCATTGTTTGTTTGTTGATGGCTAGCTGGTATTGGTTCATCATGATGGAGGGGGGAGGAAGATAAAACAAACCAAAAAAAAGAAAAGCCCAACGCGGGGCTCGAACCCGCAGCCTTGAGATTAAGAGTCTCACGCTCTACCGATTGAGCTAGCCGGGCTGCTCTCGTTGAATGGCGGGGCAAAGTATGGCTCTATATTCCTATGCGGTCTTTATCAAGCTTGCTTTTATCAAAATGACTTCCCATGAGTTCAATTTCGATACTATTGCAAGGCCTAGCCTAGCAGCTCTTGTCGAACTAGACACCCATTAAGTCATGGCCTCTAATCCCTCTAATTCGATTGATTCGTCCATTGTCGGCATCGTACTTCTATGCCACATTGAATTGATGTGGATCCCTCTTACATGAAGGAAATTATATATACTAGTAGTGGTACTACCTTTCAACTCGGTATGGTGTTGACAGAATGTGCTGGATAGCCTAGTGGCCTATCGCGCACCATGACCCGGTTCCTAGTATAAATTGTTCGACCACACATCGGCGATCAACGCAAGAAGCAAGCCAAACTAAGCAGGGAAAAGCTAATAAGGTTGTAGTCGCTACACACGAACCATGAGCACGCCACGGCTGGATCACCGGATAGCAGCGGCCAACGATGATGGAATCCCTAGCCAATCGACAGCGATATTCAACATCGCTATCATCATGTAGTAAGAAACGCCCTAGACCAATGCCGTCGATGTTGGAACAAACAGCGAGTTGCATCCAACAAATGCCTCCAACCGGGCCAGCCCGCCAGCGAGACCCGCCAAATGCATGCCTGATGTCACACCACCAGCACACTATCTCTTCCGTACTTGATCTGCCCAGCCTTATATTACTCTATATCACTCTTAGGCACCAACTACACCCTCACCCCTCGACATCCTCGCAGACACGCCATTCAAAATCATTGCAGCATCTTTCGTCACTACGGAGGACAGATACGGATCCCGGTATCTGGGTTGTTCCCAAAACAGCACGCATCACGTGGCAAAGCACGGGCCAACTCGCTTAACATTCCGCCTATTTATTTCGGCTTGAGGCTATTTTGCTCCTCCGGCTCACTCGCCCTTTGATGTTCTCATTGCGCACTTCTGCTCATTGCAGAAGTGCCTTGCCAGATCATCTGATGTACAGATATCTATCACACTGTAACACATAACCCTGACTCATGATGTCTCCTGCACCCATCGCTGCAGAAATGCAGCAAGACCAGCGGCTGGAAACCCTGGCCAGAGCTTTCGAAGCTCTGTTGCTCACCACCCAACAACTGAGTTGCAAGGAGAAGAGCTTACAGCAAAGGCTGAAATATGCCTCCGACGAGGTAAATATTCCCTCATCTTATCTCCCTTCTTCCCAACCCCCCCCCTGCTGTCTCAAAGGACGAGAAAAACCGATTAGCTCTAGATCAGGAGTCGCATCTGCGGCGGTGACGGATAAGTCATGTATTATCTGATGAGACTTGACACACTTGCACTATTTTACGTCTATGTATATTTGAATACATATGCTAACGTGCTCTCAGTACTCGAAACTCGCAGGAAAGCTCCCCGGTGGAGTCGATGGTCATACGAAAGTCGTCGCGGATAAAATCCTCGGTCGTTATACGGAATACGATCACAAACCCAAACCAAACATAAAACCTCCGGACGTAGTAAAGGCGCTGGCCGAGTCTGGAAACGTAGGAGATCTTGCCCTGACCGCTATAACGGAAGGGCTGACATGTTATCAATCTATCATACCACCACACGAGTCCAGGCAGCTCTCGGAGTTCGACTCTTGCCTCGTGGCGACGAGAGCCGGAGTGCCTGCTCCCCTAGAAAAAGACTTCACTACCAAGGGCACGCAAGGAAGTTTGCGTTGTCCTTTTGCGAAGCATAACAATAAGACCTCTGAGAATGGGGTGTCCAATGGGACGCACAATTCATATAAGGATCAGAACGGGGATGCGTGCGGACATGCCGATCTAGACCCCATCAAGGCCGAGCAGAGTGATAAACGCTCGAGTCGGGCTCCTTCGACGCGGTCTTCGGCCACTCGCTGCCCGGTTTCTCGCTGTCCCATAAGGTATCTAGACCAGCATAGTCCGGAGGAGATCGCCGACTATGTTGAGAGGCACAAGCATGAGATCCCTAGAAGTCATGCTATTTGTGTCCAACGGTACCAGCGGGACGGTCAGACCATGCGGCAGCTTGATGCAAAATACGGTAGCCTTATCAATATGATCCAGGGCTTGTCTGCCAAACATAAAGCATTCCTACCAGAGCCGAGTCAAAATGGCACGGCACCCTCTAGCTCGTCCGCAGAAAGAGTGGAGAAATGGGCACAGGAAGTTGACCTGAAGTCGGACATGCATCCTCCCATTAAAGAAGAGCAGGAGGAAGAGGCGGCGGCCGAACAAGAGGATGAAGAGAGAAAGGGCCATTTCGACCGTCCCTTGCGTGAAGTCCGTGTTGGCGAATCCCCAAGCCGGCCCTGGGGTATCCCTGTTCCGGTGTCGCCTCTACCTCCAACCGCATCACCCCCTCAATCCCCTCCGCCTGCACCGGTTGCAACCTCAATCGATGCGGTAACCACCAAGCTTCCCAATGCCGCGCCTGCAGGTTTGTCCTCGATGCCGCCGCCTGGTAACACGGCTCCGGCTCCTCCCGGCAGTGCGCCCAAGAAGGGTCGATGCCCCTTCGGACATGGTGCGCCCTCCGGTGACAAACCGCCACCCAAGATGGAGACCATACCTACGCCTGCTAAGGTGGAAAAGGTCGACGGACCTGCTGAGCGGAAGGATGATAGACCACCCGATGATCCTGCCATTCCTTCGAATAAACCACCAGCCAACATTGTGTTCAACGGGCCTGTCTTCTTTGGGTTTTCCGCAGATCAGACAGCTGCGTTCATGCAGCAGTTGAGCAATCTTGGGGCGAAAGGGTTATCCTAGAAAGTGGTTGACCAGATGAGATGATTTGATTGTTCCTGGCTTGCATATTCGCGTTGATATCCCCCACTTGTTGCTTGTATACTGTATCACGATGCTATGACTCCCTCCTGCTCATGATGATCCACATCCTCCATACTTGGACTATGATTACCGCACTGCATTCCATTTATACACTCGTGTCAACACTAGCCTAGCCTGATAATAATATTCTATTATACGTCTTCACCTGAATACGTAGATAGATAGATAGATAGGTACATAGATGTCCGAGAGTTCACCGGCCCCAGCTCCACCGATGTCGGGCGGGGCGGGCCTGGATTGGTGACTTTTCCGCGGAAACATCTGGGAACCTCAATTAGCATCTCTCCATTTCCCAACTCTTCCCCTCATGTTCTCCGCTACCTCTCGAGTCCTTTGCTCCCGTCTCAGTACTTCCTCTTGTCTCATCTCCTCCCGTCTTCACTCTCCTCTCCATCTCTCTCGTCTCCCAACTCGAATCCTATACCAATTCGTCACCATGTCCACCGGTCTTGACATCGTCCACACTGCTGGCGCCGCCCAGCGTAAGTGCTTCCTCCTCCTCCCCCCCCAACCTTATGCCATTGCATGAGATGCAGTGGCATTCATTACCCCTCTTCCATGTTTCTGGTGTTCTTGTCCAAGATAAAAAGGACACTCCCCAAGAAACAAACCGCCATTATCACCCCTAAGAGAAT